TCTGGCTGCTTGCTTTCTGACTGACTTTCTCTCTCTCATCAAATTAAAATAATAATGAATAAAATTAAATAACTTTAATATATGAATATACATTAGGTAAATAAATTAATATTTAGTTTGGAAATGTATTTCTGCCTTGGTATGAAGCTTATTTGTTTGATAACCTGTTGCTTAGTATGTGTGGAATGCATTGTTTTTATTTGCAGTTTATTAACTAAACCTAAGTTTTTGTTGTTTATAGTGCTAATTAGCAAAAAAGCAGGGAATAGAACCCAAAGTGTTAAGAACAGTGTTTTAATTTATATGGCTCTTATATGGAAATAATTTTGTAGAAATGTGAGTTCTTTTATTTAGAAATAAAATACAAGGTGTATAATGGTTGAGGCTAGTAAAAAATGTTTCTTGACCAGTTGCCTGCAGCTGATGAGCTCCAGTAAGAGCGAAACCAGTTCTCACCCACTGAAATGATCTTGAAGTGCGAATTGGTCCTGTAGTACTGTGTCAGAAACAACTCTTGGGGAAAAGTGCTTCAATCAAGAGGGATTTCATGACCCTTCTGTTTTAAATACAGTGCTTCCCTTAATGAGTAAGAGTTGCTGAAAGGCAGAATAGCCTGTGTTATTTTTCACTTCAAAAAAAGCAATATTTATAATTGTAATTACTGTATATGTGAATGTGAAAGATTTGTACAAGTATTCTTAATTTAAAACAATCTTGTAAACAAATGTCTATTTTTATATCATCCCCTGTTAATCTACTACCAGGATATTCTGTCCTCAGTAGCTTTGAAAACAACTACACATAACCAAAAAGAAAAACTTGGACAGGCTACCAAATTGGCCTACATCAGCATTGCCAGTCAGAGGCCTACAGGAGGACTCAGCTGGCATTTTCCCCTTAGTTATTCTAGACATAATCAAGTTCATCATTTATTTTTTCACTGTCATTCTTATGTAGTTATTTAATCCTTGATGATGGTTTTGTTTTGTATATGTACATGTGCATACATACATACATGTAGATCTTTAACCATGTTAACCTCTCTCCTTTACCTTTGGGTTCCAATCAGTATTCATTGGTGCATCAGAAACTTACAAGCTAAGTGACTCTCAGATGCTGATTTATATGATGACTTTTTGAAAGGTAATGGGCATAATTTGGAGTGGAGGTATAGAAAATATTCTTTGGTTAAGCTAAGTTTTATTTAATTTACAGGAGGGTTATTTGTGGAACACATGACAAATTTAAGTTTTTTTTTTTTTTTTTTAATAACCTGGATGAATAGCCTGCAACATGTGATACAAATTTTGTTCTGCTGTCTTTTACACTAGGAGTCACCTTAACAACCAGTATCCTACCCATTAAGTAGTGTGTGGTCCTCAGATCACTGTATAAACCCAGTGGGTCCCACCATCAGTGAGAACCACTGAATAGCATTTGCAAAAGTGAATGTAAATTTAGTAGAGAAAATATGTTTGTTAGATTTATTTATTACTATATTGCTTAAGATTTAAGGAGTTAAGAAAAAAAAAAGGGCTGGCAGGTGGCATGGTGGTTAACGGCGCTGGATTCCCACATGGCCAACCAGGGTTCATCTCACTTTCCCTCTCTCTGTCTCTCCCTGATCAAACTGGAAAATAATAATAAATAAAATTAAATAAAATAATTCTTTAATATAAAAAAAGATTTAAGGAGTTCACGTTGTGAGGTTCCTTTTTCCCAATGCAAAAATAATTTAAAAGGTGAAGACTGCCGGTTCAAAAATGTCACAAGGAAGTCTCTTGACTTTAAATGCAGTATTTTTTAATTTATGTGAGAGATTACTTTTATATTTGTGATACAGGAAAATTTAGAAGAAGGTTTGGCATTAGAATCTGCCCTTTACACATAGTTAGGCTTTTGATAGATGGATGGGGGAAGAATATTCCTGATGGGGACAAAGCCATGGAAATGTTAACAAATGTTGACAGGGGGGACTGTTAAGCAGACTGGCCTGGACTAGTAAAGTATAGTGAGGTACTAGGATTTTGGGCAAATGTTGAAGATTGGAAAAGTAATACAACTGGTTTACTGAGAAATTTCTGTCTAGGCTATAAACATGATGTAGTTTTATTCTCTTGTTAAGCAATCTCTAGCCATGCAATATGAATACCCACATCCTTTCATCTTCCTTCTGAAGTATGGTGCCTTGATAATATCTTGGTCAAATGTTACAACTTTTCTGCCACCTTTGGTTAAGACAGGTCACAGTCATTTAAAAACAAAAATGAGCAGCAACAACAGCAAAATGAAATCACAAACTCATTCTTCTTCCTGAAAGAAAGTTGACACTGTTCCCAGGTGCTTGGCTTGAAGAAGAGGGAGGAGTACTCTTGACTCTAAAACTTACTCCTTTTCTTTTTTCTAGCTAAGCCCCTTTGGAGTTTTGGGGGAGGCCAGCCAGTGGAGGTAGAGCTTTCATTACCTGAACCTCTAAAGAGGGAAGAGGTAGCTGTTCTCACTCTGGTTCACCTGGCTTCATGTGATGGTGGTCATTGGAGGTGGTATGTGGAATTTGTAGGGGCTCTGTTGTAATTCGCTGGCCCTTTTGCTGCTGAAGACCCACTTTTTCTTTCTTTTTAGAATTATTTTTATTTAACTTTATTTATGTATTATTTTAATTTGACCAGAGAAGGATAGAATGAGAGAGTGAGAGAGCAAGCTGCCAAGTCCTGGACTTGAACCATGGTCTGCCATGTGGGAGTCCAGTGCCCTTAACCACCACCCACCTGCCAGCCCCGAAGACCCACAGCTCCTGTTCCATGTTGGCGGAGCCAGTCTAGTACACATTTCTCCAGATTGGGTAACCTATCGATTGCCCTGGTGGTGTCCCACCCCTGGGCTGTACCATGTAACCTGCTCTTCCACTAATCTCACTCCTTCACTTGGAGTGGCAGGAAGCAATGTAGGAGAGAGAAGTGGAGCAAGAGTGAGAAGCCAACAGTTGAAATGTTTTAGGTACTAAGTGATGAGGGGACCTGGTTGGGAGGTGGGTAGGGACCATGGTAATAGAAATGCAGGTGACAGGTAAGCTTGTTGCGTAGCGCCTAAGTGCCTGGAATTTACATGGTCAACTGTGCAGTTTTGAGTCCTCAACTCAGAGGCTTGAGAAAAAGACTGGGTGCATGCTCTTTTATGGCCAAAATCCTGAAAGGAGGGAGAAATGTAAGAGAAGGATTGCAAGAGATGGGGAAGGAAGAATTGGGAATGTGACCATTCCCTGTGAGAGGGGATGCTTTCTCCCCTCCCTTTCTCTCTCCCTCTCTCTCACGAGTGCATGCACCCTCTGGCAAAACTGAAAAAGAAAAGAAATGCAGGATATAATTGTTAAAAAGAGTATGAGAGCAAAAGAGATAGAGTCAAATAAGAAAAATTAAACCGTTTATGAAATGGAAAGATTAAATGGGGGTGTTTAATTATAGAAGCTATAGTTATGATTTTGGATTTGACCATTGTAAGTTTGAGATTACATGGAACCTCCAGGAGAAATGTCTATTATGTTCAGGTAGAGATTTTAATATAGAGACAGACACAGAGTGAAAGAGAAGACATAGACAATTCTTTATTGTGATTTGGGGATGCAGGACTGACAATAATTGTGTCTGCATTAACTTGGAGTTGTTGCTTCAAGTTATCTAAGTGAATGAATTCTAGGATAGAAAAAGACTTGAAGACTGAACCTTGGAGAATATGAAAACTGGGTGAGAGAATAATAAACCAACATTTTTCTGGTGTTTTTCTGTTGACAAATCATGGCACATAGGAGCCATAACATTGTCAATAAAGTTTCCTTTTGCTTGGTCTATGTTGGGGTGTCTCATTTGACAATATATTTCAAATGAGAATATATTTCTTATCTGTTACCCATATATTTTGGTCAACTCTGGGTTTAACTTTTGTTTGGTGATTGACTAATTGTACGTTTACAACTACTTCATTCATTTTTAGATCGATTTCTAGAAAAGATGTTAAATTTAACATCTGTACATTCACAAGTTACATTTTTTTTTTTTGGAGAAGTTTTTGCTATAGGGCGCATGTGCTCGCCAGAAAGCTAGAGACAGACAGAAAGCGAGAAATCACCTCCAGGGGGAATGGCCATGCCACAATCCCTTCTCCATTCTCCTCTTGGGATTTTGAGCATGCATGCACATGTGCCTGGCGTGAGTTTAAGCCACCAGGTCTGGGACTCGAACCGTGGTCAACTACATGGGAGTCCAGCGACATAGCCATTACGCCAACTGCTGGTCCCTAAATTTTTTTTTTTTTTAAAGTTTCTTTTTTTAGAGAGTAAGGAAGAAAGCCTAAGCACTCAGCAAGATCTCATGCTGTGATTCACTGGCGGCGAGGTCATTTCCTGAATCCCTGTCTGGATACAAAACTAATTCCTATGGGAATCCTTTATGCCCTGAATTTCTTTGAGCTCATTCCTAGGTCTTTTGTCCATAGGTACCTGCATCTTGTATTGTTTAGTTTTTTTTTTTTTTTTAATCAGTAAATTTTTATCATCATGTTCATTGTTTTGTCATCATGTGCATTTGATTTGTGATTTTTCTTCTAGCCTTCTCTGGTATTTTCTTATAGATTCTTGAGGTGGTCTTTTTTCCTCTCATAGAGCTGAAAGAATTCTGAACATTCTTTGGCACTAATGTTAGAGTTAGTATTTCTTACCTAATGTATGGGGATGATCAGGGACTATCAGACTACAGTTGACATTAATTAAGTGAAATTGCATGAGTGATGTGATGGAGAAAAGAGGAGGAAACTTTGCAGACCCTACTAGTTGTGGCCAACTTGACTTGGCTTTCTTCTTTTCTTTTTCAAGGAAAAACTTATCAAAGGAGTTACTATTGGTAAAATATGTGGTCTTGCGTATTTCCACATCATGGAGCATGGGCAAATGTGTTTGGGGTCTTCGTTTAAAATCACTTTTTTTTAATGTTAATATTTTGATTTCTTAGATGTAAGACGAAAATCAGGAGCAGATTTGAAGAAATGCAGAGCGAATTGATGCCAATCAGCATGTCAGTGACAGATCACATAGCCTCCATTTCCTCTGATAAAAGCACTGGGAAAACACCTGAATTAAAAGAAGACTCATGTAACTCATTTTCTGGTGATGGAAGCAACGGATTAGAAAATGAGTCCAAGCTATTGTCATTGAACTTTGATAAAACTTTATGTCAGCCGAATGAGCACAATAATCAGATTAAGGCACAGGAAAATTATATTCCAGATCATGCTGGAGGTGAGGATTCTTGTGCTACAACAGACATATGCCTAGAAAATTCTGAACAAATAACTGATTTTCCTAGTGGAGACTTTGCAAAGCCAGTTTCAAAAACAAAGGAACCAGAACAGACAGTAACACAAATATTGGCGGAATTAAGATCATCTACATTTACAGAAACAGCTAATCAAAAGACTTACTCAGAAAGTCCCTATGATACAGACTGCACCAAGAAACTTATTTCAAAAATAAAGAATGTTTCAGCATCAGAGGATTTGTTGGAAGAAATAGAATCTGAACTCTTATCTACAGAGTTTGCAGAGGAACACAGAGTGCCAAATGGAATGAACAAGGGAGAACATGCATTAGTTCTGTTTGAAAAGTGTGTGCAAGATAAGTATTTGCAGCAGGAACATACTATAAAAAGGTGAGATTTTTATTCTTTGAAGTTAATTTTTCCACAGGGATTAGAGATTGAATTCTTTTAAAAAAATATTGTCTACTTTTAATTCTTCAGTAGAACCATATACTTATTAATCATTATGTGTATATTTACTGAGTAAATGCTAAGTTTTCTAGATATCTAATACCTAAGAGTAATTAAGTATTAAATAGTATAAGTTCATTAAAAAGTTAGAAATAAAAATCAGGTGGTGTGATGGTTGAGGCACTGGCCTCCCACGTGACTGACCATGGTTTGAATTTGGACTTGGCAACTTGCTTTCTCATTCTCCCTCTCTGATCACATTGAAGAGTAATAGTAATAAAATAAGTAATTCTTTTAAAATAAAAAAGTTGGAAATACCAGTCCAACAGGTGGCATGGTGGTTAAAGTGCTGGATCCCCATGTTTGACCATGGCAAGTCCTAGACCTGCTGTTTTGCTTTCTCACTTTCTCTTTCTCTCTCTCTGGTGAGCACAAGTGCCCTATTAAATAATTTTTTTAAAAGAGAAATCCTTCTTTAAAAAAGAAAGCTGGAAATGTCTATAAAGACAACTCAAAATATTTATTTTTAAAAGCATGTGGAACTGTAACATTAAAACTAAGAAAAATTCAAAAGGAAATGATAAATCATAATCTTCAAAAAGTTTTTCTTAAAATCTCCATTGTAATTTCACTAGTTTAAAAACAAAATTCAGAGAACAAGAATTGATGGATTTTCATTCACTAAATATTAAGAACATAGTTATTTTTAGGTTACTCTTAGATTTGTTGAGTTAATTCTATTTCACCCTCCCCAATTGCCATGGAGCACACATGTGTGTGAGAGAAAGAGAGAGAAAGTACTTCCCAGTGGGGATCGGTCATGTCACAGTTCCTTTTCTACCATTTCTCTATCCTGTCAGGATTTCAGTCATGCATGTACATATATCTGGTATGTTTTTCAAGCCACTGGGGCTGGGATTCAAACTGCCGTTGTCTTGTGGTTATCCAGCTCCTGTGCATAGCACTTAATCACTGTGCCTGGGACTAATGTAGTTTGTTCTAACAATAGCTTAATTTCATTTAACCTTTTTCCTGATCGTATTATATCATCCTATATTTTTTGCTATATTCATATAGCTAAGCAATGCATAGGTTTAGAAGTTCTGTAACCTTTAAGAAAGGAAAATAAACTATACTAACCTTCACTGAAATACAGACTAATTCTCTTTTAATAAAATGATACTTAACACATTATTTGTATTGGGTATGTCTGTTAGAGAAATAGAGAGAGGAAATCCATATACCAGAGGAGAATGACAGAAGAAAATATACCATAACTCAAATATGTCTGGATATGAAACTGGCTTTTAATGATCTTGCTTGTAGTATTTACTCTTTCAGTTTACTCCTCCTGGTAGATCAGTATTCCCCAAACCAGCTCATCCTTCATTGGTATATCCAGTATACTATTTAATCTCTTAGTGTCCAGGGCCCTTCCCACTGTTACTTACTTATTTATTTAATTTTTAAAAGTATATTGCTTCTATGAGCCGGAGAGAGAGAGGAGAGACAGACAAGCACCCTAACCCCAACAGGGTCCTGATGCTTTAACCAGCCCTGGATCATGGACACGGGAATGCCTGGTATATACAAGGTCAGCCTTCCCATAGGGGTCAGCCTTGAAGAACATAGCATTTTACTATTGCACCACCATCTGGCCTCTAATTTTAAATTTTAATTGTGATTATTAAAATGTACACAGCAAATTTACCATCTTAACTGTTTTTTTTTTTTTTTTTTTTTTTTTTTAATAATTTTCTGAAGACTCATGTGCTCTCCAGGGAGACCAAAGGAGAGGAAGAAAGTAACCCCAGTGGGATGTGATAGCACCATAATTCCTTCTCCTTCATTTCTTCATGCCGTTAGGATTTTAGATGTACACAAGCTTGTGCCTGGTGCTTTTTCAAGCCACTGGGTCCAAGACTCGAAATAAACATTGGCCATATAGGATCCAGCCTTCCCTAACCACTAGGCAACAGGGCTTTTCCCCATCGTAACCATTTCTTTGAAACCATTTTTAAGTGTATGGGTCAATAGATGTCAAGCATCTTCATGTCGTGTACAACCAATTCACCTTACAAATGTGAAATTTTTCATATACCATCTAAACAACTCAATTTCCACCTGCCCCCATCCTCTGTTAGCTGCTGTTCTTTTTGTGAGTTTGATTACTCTTGATGCCTCATTTAGACATCATACAGTACCTGGTATTTTTGTTTTGTTTTGTGACTGATTTATTTCACTTACTAGCATGTCTTCAAGGCTAATCAGTGTCATAGCATATATCAGAATTTCCTTCCTTTGTCAGGCTTAGTAATACTCCATTGTATGTATGTACCACTGTTTGTTAGTCAATGGATATTTGGGTTCCTTCTATCCTTTTTTAGAGATATTTTTGCCATAGGGCGCATGTATTTGCTGGAAAGACAGAGACAGAAAGCGAGAAATCACCCTCACCTTCCTGCCCACAGGGGATGGCCACCCTACAATCCCTTCTCCTCCATTCTCCTCTTGGGATTTTGGGCACACATGCACACGCACCCAGCGTTAGTTTTAAGGACCTGGGTCTGGGACTCAAACTGCAGTTGACCACATGGGAGTCCAGCGACGTAACCATTATGCCATCTGCTGATCCTGGACTCCTTCTATCTTTTAATGATTATGAATAATGCTTCCGTGAACATGGGTGTATCTCTTTGAGGCTACAAGGCCCTTCTACTACTACCCCAGAACTAACTCCTGCCTCTACTACTCTTACCCTTATTGGAATACTGCTATTATGTGAAAAAACTGTATGCTTTTGTTCTTGAACTACTCATGCTCCTGCTATTTTTTAGGGTAACTTCCTCATTTTCCTATTGTCTCTACTTATAGACTGTCTCCTTGAGATTATCTCAGCTTCTTTAAACTTTACTTAGGTCTGGACCTTTACCACCTTCATTTAATGAAGAAAAACTGCTTTTTTATTCCTTTGCTTAAAATGTTCATGGATACATCTATTTCCAAATGTATTTGTTTATACATCTTTCCTTTTCTCCCAATTTTATTGAGATATAGATAACAAAATTATATATATATTTAAGGTGAACATGTGATAATTTCATATACATCCTGAAGCAATTACTACAAACAAGTTAGCACATCAGTCATCTCATATCATGTGTTTCTGCGGGTGTGTATATATTTGGTGAGAAAGAACATTGAAGTTCTCCTCTCAGCATATTTCAAGTATACAATATGGTATTATTATTATTGCCACTATGGTATACATTAAATCTCCAGAATTTAGTCATTTTATGCCTGAAAATGTGTATGCTTTGATCAGTATTTCCTCATTTTTTCTAATCCCTAGTCTCTGGAAATCACCATTCCACTGTTTCTATTCCCCTATTTTCTTTTTAAGAAATTTACCAGAGGGTGTATGCACTCACCAGAGAGACACAGAGAGGGAGGGAAAGAGAGAAAGCACCCCCAAGGGGACATGGTCTTGCTGAAATCCCTTCTCTTCCATTTCCCTCCTTTTGAGATTTTGTGCACACACACACACACTTAACATGTTTTTCAAGCCACTATATCTTTGTGTGACCTAGCCACCTTAACTACAGGCCATGGACTGGCTCATCTACTTCCATTTTTTCTAACATGTCAATATTACTGACCAAGGTCCCAATCAAAATTCTTAAGAACAGTTTTCTGGGCCAGTAGGTGGCATGGTTGTTAACGGGCTGGATCCTGGATGACTGACTCCGCTGTTCAAGCCCTGGACTCAGTGGCTTGTAAAACATAGTGTGTGTGTGCGCGCGCATGTATGTGCATGTGTGCATGTGTGTGTGCGTGTATGCACTCTCCCAGAATCCCAAGGGGAAAATGGAGAAGAGATTGCTGAGTGATAGTTTCCCCTGGGGCGTGATTTTTCACTTTCTCTCTCTGTCTTCAGTGAGTTTAGGCACCTTATGACAAAAAAAAACAAAAAAAAACAAAAAAAAAAAACAAAGAAAAAAACCCAAACAATTATCTATGCATACGATGTGCTTTTGCCATCTGAGAATAACAGTGTGTAACAGTTGTTGGCACTCTTTACTGCCCCCTCCCTTAATTGCTTACTTGTGATACATAGCAGGGATTCTTTTGTCTCAAGTAGTTTTCTGTAACAAATTAAGTATATACCTAATCATATAAATAATCTACATTCAGCCACTGTACCATAAAAGGCTTGAATAAACTTGCATGCCATATTTACCTCTTCCCCAAGCATTTGTATGATTGTTTCCTTATTACATTTTTGTACCCAGAAGTCACCTACTCCAAATGGCCATCCTGACTACCTTATCTAAAATTGAAGCTGAAGTCATTCTTTTTACTTAATCACTAACATTTTATTATGTACCTATTCCTTGTTTTCTTTCATTTTCTCCCCTTAGGAGGTACACATCATGAAGGCAGGGATGTTTGCTGACATATTCCCCATGTACAGAATAGTGAGGTACATAGTAGGTACCCAGTAAGCACCTGTTAAGTGAGTGGGTGATCTTCAAAGTAGTAAGTGGAAAGGCCTGGGTTTTAGAATTATCCTAGCCACAAAATAGTTCAACTACTAACTAGCTGCATGACCTGGAACAAGTTCTTGGCTTCAGTTTTGTTTTGCTTTTTAAAACATTGATAAAAGAAGTGATAATGACTTTATAGATTTACTTTGAATATTAAATGAAATAATACAATTTTTTTGGAGAGGTTTTTGCTGTAGGATGCATGCACTCGCCCGAAAGAGAGAGAAAGACAAAGTGAGGAAATCACCCCCCAGGGGGAATGGCCACACCGCAATCCCTTCTCCTCCATTCTCCTCTCAGGATCTTGGGCATGCATGCATACGCGCCCGGCGTGAGTTTAAGCCACCGGGTCCGGGACTCGAATCGCAGTCGACTACATGGGAGTTCAGCGACATAGCCATTATGCTAACTGATGGTCCCACATTTTATTTTTAAATAAAAGCTAGACTTAGCCAATAGTAAGTGTACAGTAATTGTTAGGTAATAGCTATTAATAATACTAGGATATTAGCTGTTAACCTTCTTATAGTTCTGCATTATTTTGTAGGTAGCTTTTAAGATTTTAATTTTTGTAGGGAACTTAAAATGAAATTTTTGAGTAAACTTTCATTTTGTTGCTTTAATACTTCTTTAATAGAATATCATAAAAATATTTTTAAGCCTAATGCACAATTTCTTAACCTCAGCATTATTCCATTTGTGGCTAGATAATTCTTTGTTGTTGGCACTGTCTTGTACATTGTAGGATGTTTAGCAGTATCCCTGGCCTCCACCCACTAGATGCCCGTAACAACCCCTAGACCTATTAGGACTACCAAAAATGTTTTTAGACAAATTGCCTAGAGGGGCAAACTGCCTTTGTTTAAGGACCCACTTAAGCAAGGGTTCCAGTGCTGAAGGGATGTTGTATATATATAATTGGATACCCAAAAGCATAAACTTAAAAGGATGTGGTTTTCTTTATTATATTTCACTTGATTTGAAATATTCAAATTTCCAGGGAAAAGTGAATAGCCTGATTGGCAAGGGAATGTTGTACAAAGTACCACGTGTCATTTTAAAAAGATTATTTAGGAATATTTATTTTAGTCATAGATATCTACATTCTAATCTGTGAACAGATTATATTCTGCATCTAATTTTATCACCATTTTAAATTATGTTTTACTTATATTACCCTTTTTGCATTTAGGTTAATTAAAGAAAATAAGAAGCATCAGGAACTCATCTTAGATATTTGTTCAGAAAAAGACAATCTAAGAGAAGAACTAAAAAAAAGAACAGAAACAGAAAAGCAGCATATGAACACAATTAAACAGGTAAAAAGACAAAAATCTTTAAAGACCTTACTTCAATTTATAAAATAAAGATATTCCCCCAAAATTATGGAGAAGCTGAAGTTCTGTAAGTTAAATCATATTTTAAATCCAGATAATTGCTTGGTTTTAAAACATTCTCTTTTACAAAGTTGAAGTCAAAGCTTGTAAATTTTCATTTTTATGATATATGTGACTGTTTTATAGGTAATAGAACATATTCTATAGTATGTTCTATATAAAAAAGACAGTTTGACTTGAGAGTTAGCTATACTGTTTTGCCAGTTAAGGCAAGAAATAATAGATACCTAAAAGATTGTGTTTGGCTTTAGAGTCTTTTCAAACTTACAGTTTGGTATGGTTTATTCTCCGTATTTTTGTAAACTACACTGTGAGGAATGGCTGTCATACTTTATTTTACTTATTATTATTTTTTTTAAGAATTATTGAATTTTAGGGCCAGCAGGTGGTGTAGTGATTAAGGCGCTGGGCTCCCACATGATCAACCACATTTTGAATCCTGAACCAGGCAGCTTGAAACTCAAGCCAGGCGCATGTACACCCAAAATCCTGAGAAGAGAATGGAGGAGAAGGGCTTGCGGTGTAGCCATCCTCCCTTGGGGGCGATTTCTCACTTTCTGTCTGTCTCTCTCTGGTGAGCACACATGCCCTGAAGCAAAAAAAAAAAAAAAACCTAAAAGTTATTTAATTTTATTTGTCCGTATTATTATTGTTCTTATATTATTTTTTTAAATTTGCTATGTCTGTGTCCACTCTTGGCTTGGAGGAGGAGCAAAGATGCGGGCAAACACAGATAAACTGTGCTGCTCAGTCATGGTGAGCTTCTCTATTTATACATTTTACCAGGCACAATGAACTGTTTGCAAGCTTTCAAGGATGCAGTTGAAGTTCTACAGTTAGAGATAAGGACTTTAGTGTATATGTTTTTTGACTTTGTTACTATCATATGTGATCCTGTTATGTGTCATAGGTCAAGCCAGATTATTTATGCTGTTTCTCTGCAACTCTGAGGAAGGCTGTCTGAGTATGCGTAAGCCATAAACATATAGAACAGGCATCACATGACCTAGCTAGGGTTAAGATGTTTCCCAGGCCCCGCTGATATTTCCACATAGCCCATAGCATCTAAGCCGTATGTCAGCCGGCTCAAATGAGTAATTAACAAGGTATGTAGATAACTGCTTCGTACTGCCAGACTACATACCCTCACATGCTACAGGGCACATGTGCTCACCAGAGAGAAACAGAAAGAGAAAGTGAGAAAGCAAGCCGCTAGGTCCAAGATTCGAACTGAGGGAGTCCAGTGCTTTAACCACCTGTTAGCCCAGGTCTCATACTTTAAATTGTATCTGGTAACTAGCTTCCCTAACTAGTCCTTGTTTTTTTCTTTTCCTTTTTTTAAACAAACTTCTCTGATACATAAATATTCAGACTGATAACACACCTGAGCCCCCATTTTCTTTCTTTTTTAAAATAACTATTTATTTAATTTTATTTATTTATTCCTTTTAATTTGATCAGAGTGAGAAAGAGGAATGTGAAAAAGCAAGTTTCCATGTCCAGGACTCAAAGCCACCATGCCACCTGCTTGCCCCTCCCCTTCATCTTTCTGTGCTGCTTTTTCTTCTGTACAGGGCTAGGTATATTCTAACCTTAAAAGTACTTCTCTGTGATGTGACCATCCCCCCAGGAGGTGATTTCTCGATTTTTGTCTATTTGTGTCTCTGGTGAGTGTATGTACCCTATAGCAAAAATATCTCTTAAGAAAAATTAAAAGTACTTCCATCTCAACTTTGACTGAAGCTGTATTATTAAAGTAACAATAAACAATTAGTAATAATATAATAGAAATTAAGCCAAATTTTCACCTGCTTATGCCTTGATATACTTAATGTACCTTCTATAATTAGAAGGTAACTATATTGGTAAAATTTTGTGTATTCAAACCAAGTTTGTATGTGTTCTAGGCCCACCACATGTAAATTCAATTTAGAATTGACGTTCTATGTTCAGGTGTAAGGGAGCCTTAATAATAGGCTGAATCTGTATTTTGACAGCCACATCATTGTTGATGACCAGGAAACTTCAGAATGAACAGATGGCATGGAACCAGAGCACTTGCTGTCATGAGCAGCTTAGTGCTTTTCCCTTTTTGATAGATAATTAATTTTTAAGCCAGAGGGTGCATGCCCACATGCAAAGGGAGGAGGGGAAGAAATATCCTCCAAAAGGGCCTAGTTACACTGCAATACCTTTTTCTCCAGTTCTCTCTCCCATCAGGATCCTGCCCATAAGTGCATGCCTGGCATGTTTTTCTAGTTGGTGGGGCCAGAACTCAAACTCTTGTTAGCCATGTGGGATTAGGTTTCCTTTGCACAGTGTTTAGCCACTGTGCATGGGGGCCAGCCAACATTGTGCCTTTTTAAAAGTGAAAATTGGATTCACCTTTCTATTGCTAGCATTCAGAGAATGTTATACTTCTAAGCAGAAAATTAGTATAGCAGCGTTTTCTTTTTAACTTTGCTATAGGACACATGTGCTCATGAGAGAGAGGAAAAGAGAAAGTGAGAAAGCAAGCCATCAGCAAGCCATCAGATCTGGGATTTGAACCGTGGTGAGCCATGTGGGAGTCCAGTGCCTTAACCTCTAATCCACTTGCTGGCCCCTTTCCATGTGACTTTAAAAAAGCCATGCATGTGACTTGTATTTCTGTTGGACAGTGTTGCTCTAGATAATTTTATTATAAAAAAAACTAGTACATATTCTATAAACTGATATTTAGATCCCTTTAAACAGCTTTATTGAGATATAATTCACATATCATAGTTCACTCATTTTAAGTGTACAGTTCAGTGGTTTTTAGTTGCGCAACGACAATCTTGGAACATTTTATTATACCTGAAAAGAAACCTCACGCACAGTAGTTTATTACTCGTTTTCTTCCAATACTATTATATTATTATACATACTCTCATCCTGCACTATACCTTTTTTTTTTTTGAGAGGTTTTTGCTATAGGGCATGTGTGCTCACCAGAAAGACAGAGAGAAAGCGAGAAATCACCCTCCAGGGGTGATGGCCACGCCGCAATCCCTTCTCCTCCATCCTCCTCTCGGGATCTTGGGCATGTACGCACATGCACCCAGCCTGAGTTTAAGCCACCAGGTCCGGGACTCGAACCATAGTCGACTACATAGGAGTCCAGTGACATAGCCATTATGCTAACTGCGGGTCCCTAAACCTTAAGGAGCAACTAATCTATTAGGTTGTCAGGAAAGTTGTGACATATTTAACAATGCAAAAATGTGTCATGATTTTTCTGACAACTCAGTACTTTCTGTCTCTATTTATTCACCTATTCTGGACATTTCACATAAGCGTAATAATAAAAGTAGCATTTTCATATAGCTTCTTTTGCTTAGCCTAATGAATTCAAAGTTTCTTTCAAGTGTTTGTATATTATCACTTCATTCTTTTTAATGACTATTATTCCATTGTATAGATATACAACATTTTGTTTATCCCTTAAATTAATTGTACATTTAGGTTGTTTTCACTGTTTGACTGTTATGAATAATGCTTCTATGAACATTCACATACTAGTTTTTGTGTAGGCATGTGTTTTCATTTCTCTTGGGTGTGCACCTAGGAATGTATAGAATGAGTTGGGAACATTCCTTTTTCTGTTGGTGAGTGGCAAGAGTTTGTGAAGAATTGAATTTAATTGGTTTTAAGTGTTTAGTTAAATTTACCTGTATAGCACTTGGACTTAAAATTTTTTTTTGTAGGTAGTTTTTCTCTTTTGATTACAAATTCAGTCTCTTGTTTTAGTAGTTTGTGTTCTTCTAGGAGTTTTCCATTTAATAGAAGTTAAATTGTTCATAGTATTCATTCATAATCCTTTCTATTTCTATAAAGTCAGTAGCAATATCCCTCTTAAATTTCAGTTCTAGTAATTTGAGCTTTCTCTTTTTCAGTCTAGCTAAAGATTTGTTAACTCTATTGATTTTTTTCAAAGAGCCAATTTTTTAATTAAATATTTTTGTTTCGATTTCCATTCTTTTTTTTTGGAGAGGTTTTTGCTATAGGGCGCGTGTGCTTGTCAGAGAGACAGAAAGCGAGAAATCACCCCCCAGGGGGGATGGCCACAATCCCTTCTCCTCCGTTCTCCTCTCAGGATCTTGGGCATAGCACGCACACGCACCTGGCGTGAGTTTCAAGCCACCGGGTCTGGGACGCGAACCGCAGTCGACTACATGGGAGTCCAGCGACATAGCCATTACGCTAACTGCTGGTCCCCCCATTCTTATCTTTATAATTTTCCCCTTGTTGGCTTTAGGTTTACTTTGCTCTTTTTTAGTACCTTTTTATTTTTTAAAGAATTGTTTAATTTTATTTATCATTTTTTTAACTTTGACTAGAGAGAGACAGAGAGAGAAAGGGAAAGTGAGAAATCAAGCCACCAGGTCTTGGATTCAAAACCACAGTTAGCCATGTGGGAGTCCAATGCCTTAACCACTAGGCCTCCTGCCAGCCTCTTTTTTTCCAGTATTTTAAGATGAAAGTTTAGGTTACTGATTCAAGAGCTTTCTTCTTTTTAAAGGTTCTTCAAGTTATAAATTTCTGTGTAACTGTTGCTTTAGATACATATCCCATAAATTTTGATTTTTGTCTTCATTTTCATTTATCACTTAGTACTTTGTAATTTCTCCCATCGGTCATTTAAGAATGTGTTTAATTTACGTTTTTTTTTAAAAGAATTATTTATTTTTATTTATTCCTTCATTTATTTTCATTTGACCAGAGAAAGACAGACATACAGAGAGAGGGAAAGTGAGAGAGCAAGGCACCAGGTCCGGAACTTGAACCATGGTTGGCGATGTGGGAGTGTCTAGCACCTTAACCACCACACCACCTGCTGGCCCCGAATGTGTTTAATTTTCTAAATGTGTAAATTTCCCAAGCTTCTTTCTTTTATTGAGTTCTGATTGTGTTCCATTTTCGTTGGAGAACATACTTTGTAAAATTTTAATCTTTTAAATTATTGAGGTTTGTTTATAACCCAACACATGTTTTATCCTAAAGAATATTTCATATGCACTTGATGAGAATTTATATTCTCCTCTTTTTTAGGCTGAGTATTGTATAGATGTATGTGTGTATAGATGTTAGATCCAGTTGGTGTTTATTGTTGTTCAAGTCTCTTATTTCTTTGTTAATCATCTGCTAATTCTATCCATTATTAAAAGTAGGAGATTAGTCTCCAACCTTAGATTCACTTTTTCCATTTTATTTCTGTCAATTTTGGGGTATTTTGGTGCTGTTATTAGGTACATACATCTTTCTTATTGATCAACTTATGGTTATGAAATGCCCTTTATTAATAACTTTATTTTAGTCTGTTTTATCTGATACTGTTAGTCTGTTTTATCTGATAGCCACTCTCAATTTCTTAGGATTGCTGTTTGCATGATTTATCTTTTTCCATCGTTCCATTTTATTTATTTATGTCTTGGAGTCTAAAATGTTTCCTGTAAACCATAGATAGTTGGATTTTTAAAATGTTTTAAAAAATTATTTATCTTTATTTTTAATTTGACCAGAGAGGGACAGAGAGTGAGAAAGAGGGAAAGTAAGAAAGAAAGCTGCTAGGTCTGGGACTTGAACCACAGTTGGCTATGTGAAAGTCTGGCGCCCTTAACCACCATACCACCTGCTGGCCCCAGTTGGATTTTATTTTTTTATTCCATTCCATCAAGTTCTGACTTTTTTTTTTGGAGAGTATTTTTGTTTTGTTTTGTTTTGCTTGTTTTGTTTGTTTTTTGTTTTTTGTTTTTTTTGCTATCGAGCACATGTGGTTGCCAGAAAAACAGAGAGAGGCAGAGAGTCAGAAAATGAGAAATCACACCCCAGGACGGATGGCCATACTGCAATCCCTTCTCCTCCATTCTCCTCTCGGGGTCTTGGGCATGCATGCACATGTGCCCGGTGTGAGTTTAAGCCACCGGGTCCAAGACTCAAACCACAGCCCACTACACACAAGTACAGTGACATGGCCATATGCCAATTGCTGGTCCCCAAGTTCTGACTTTTAATGTGATTACTTAATACTTTTTAGATTTTTTTGCCATAGGGTGCAACTGCTTGCTGGAGAGAAAGTAGGGGAAAAGTGATAAATCACAGGGAATAGCCACACTGCAGTCCCTTCTCCTCTAGTCTCTTCTTGGAATTTGGGGCATGTGCACACACATGCCTGGAGTGTTTTTTGGACTGCTGGTCTGGGAGTCTTAACTGCAGTCAGCCATGTGGGATCCCTGGCCTTAACCACTATGCCACCTCGTGGTCCTTAATACACTTTTACAGGTGTTATAATTAATAAGTATTAATTAACAAGTGTTCTTTTTATAAGTGTTAGAATTGTTCTTTTGCATTATGTGAATATTTTTTAATATAACAATTACATTTCTTTCTCTATATTTTCACTATTCTTTTTTTTTTTTTTAAGTTATTCCTTAGTGGATGGTCTAGGGCTTACCCGTACAAGGAGAACTTAAGAAAATTCGTAGAGGCCCAGCAGCTGTGGCAGAGTGAGGTGGTACAAATACCCAGCAAGGCTGGAAGCCATATGACCAACCATGGATTTAGATCCCTGAATTGGCTGAAAATTTGTTAGGCGGACACATGTTTGTGTACCCAGGATCCTGAGGACCTTCTTAGAATGCTGGGAAGGGATATGGCACCATGATGAGACTCTGCCAGGGGTGCAATACTCTCTCTTGTGCACATGTTCATGTACACACGTGTGTGCTCTCATTTACAAAATAGTGCATGGAAAAATGGAATTAAAGTACAGGTTTATTTTGGTGAAGAAAATTGATGAAATCTATGCATAGTGTGTAGTTTTTTTCATAATACATATTTTTCATTAATATTTTGAAATTCTTTATACTCTAACTTAGGAAAATGTCTTCAGATATATAGTAACTTAATTCCAATGAGAGATAGAAACATTGCTACTAGTTTTAATTTCTATGGTTAAGGTATATTCATTGCATTTTTATGCTTATTTACATTGTTTCTATGTGTTTGAGATATTTTTTGTCTGGTGTAGCTATAAAAATAATATGGAAACTTTTTTTTTATAGTTAGAATCAAGAATAGAGGAACTTAATAAAGAAGTTAAAGCATCCAAAGATAAACTATTAGCTCAAGACATTGCAGCGAAAAATGCAATTCAGCAATTACACAAAGAGATGGCCCAACGAATGGAACAGGTATTTTTCATATCATTATCATTATTATTATTATTATTATTATCAACTTGATACTCTGGTGACTCTTTCATGTTATTAAATAAATTAACCGTGTTAGACTGTTTTGGATATTAGCAATGTTATTTTATTTATATAAAAATTTGCTTTTCAAAAAATGTTAAAGCAATACATAAATACATGCCAATTATTTTAAAAATTAATAAATTGAGGCCAGCAGGTGGCATGGTGGTTAAGGGCGCTAGACTCCCACATGGCCAGCCACAGTTCAAGTCCCAAATCTGGCGGCTTATTCTCTCTCTCATCTCTCTCTCTCTCACGCTGTCCCTCTCTGATCAAATTTAGGTAGGTAGATAAATAAATAAATAAATAAAGGTAAATTTAAAAATTCTAAAAAAAAAAATTAAGAAAATGTATGGAATAAAACAAAATGAAAGTCCCCCTTCTGTACTTCTCCTGCTATTTTTTGTTGTACAGCTAATTATTGATATTTAGATTATGTGTCTTACCACATATACATGTACAAGTCACGTCCTTTCGTGTACATATTTGTATACTTTTTCTTCCTACTGTTAGATTGGAATCTTACTGTACATCTTTTGTAACCTGCTTGGATTCCCTATTTAATGTATCTTGATAATATTTTGAGTGGGATCTGTAATCTCAGGAAAGGTCATTGTAAACAATGCTTTTGTGTATTTACTTGCCTAAACATAAAGATGAGGTCTTTGTCATCTTCATTTTTGTATTCACACATCCTAGCACAGTGCCTGAGTAACAATTAATCCTAGAAATGAATTGAATCAGGTAGGTTTAATTACCATGCTTGCACCAGGAGTGAAGTAAATTCCAGTCTTTCTACTATTACAGGTGGCATTCTAGAAGAATGTTGGGAAACAGATTATTATCAACCTTTATCTCTGACTCTTTAGAACATGTCAACCCTTTGCATTAGAAATGTTGTATTTTGGAACTGCAGGTGGTATGGTGGTTGGGGCACTGGAGTCTCACTTGGCCAACCATGGTTTTAATCCTGGACCTGGCAGCTTGCTTTCTTTCTGTCTCTTTCTGGTGAGCGTGTGTGCCCTATAGCAAATTTCAGTAAATAAATAAGTAAATAAACAAACTAAATAATTCTTTTTTAAAAAGAGAGCAATATTATATGTTAAATGCATACTATAAATTCTAGATTCCTGAGTACTAATTGAAGGGAAATTTAAAGCCTAAGACCTTCAGAAGTAAGTGGTTTTAGTGGACCCAAACTTAGCCAATCATTAGACTCACCTAGTGAACTTTAAAACAAAACAAAACTCTGAAGCTTATTATGGATTTAAAATAAAATAGTAGATGAATGTTTAAGATTGCAATTCAAATAGTTTAAAAACAAATCTTCCAACATTTTCTCCCCTTCCCTGAAGTAACAACTTATACCAGTTAACAAAAATGTTTGTTGCATTGACAGGTGCATATGTATACATTCTTTTCTTTCTCACTCACCTGTTTCTTCTTTTTACAAATGGCAATTCACTATTTGTGTGTTTCCTCCCTTATGATGAGAAGTGTAGATAATGTTAATAATATTGGGTTATTGGAAAAGTAATGATGAATTTTTACTGTGTTTTTCTATGCAAAAATGCATCATGAGTTTTCCAATGATTCAACAGTAATTTATATATTAAGTTTTAGCAATGCGCTAGGCTATGTTCAAATACTTTATAAGTATTAACTTATTTAATCTTCACAGCAGCCTTAAAAGGTGGGTATGGTTAAGGCAGATTTTGGGAACTGTTCCTTTTTTTTTTTTTTAAAGTGATTTTTTCCTGTAGAGTGTCTGTGCTCCCCAGAGAGACAGAAAGTGAGAAATCACCCAACAAGGGAGATGGCCATGCACCAGTTCCTTCTCCTCCATTCTCCTCTCAGGATCTTGGACATGAATTTTAAGCTCCAAGGTCTGGGACTTGAACTGCAGTTGACTACGTGGGAGTCCAGCAACGTAACCATTATGCCATCTGCTGTTTCATTTTATTATTGCTAGATCTTTTTCATTCCTGTTTTCCCCTAAGTTTTATGCCCAACTTTTTAATTTAAGAGTTTTCAAACCTTTAGTGAAGGTGAGAAAACAGTAAAATGACCACCTGTTTAGTCTCCACCCTACAGTCCTCATATCTGGTAAGTTTTATTTAGAAATATATTCCCAGTGTGGGTGTGCATGTGTTCATACACACAAATACTACTAATTTAATTTTCCAGGTTTATCCATTTGATAAAATAAAAATGAATTTAAACCTCAAACTTATAGGAGAGTAGAGTTATATTATAAATGATCAGAAGCTTTATCACATGTCCCCTACTGGTAGCCTCCGTGGCCTGGTATTGGTAAATGTCCACAGGGCAGTGAAGGCTTAAATCCTAGTATGCTATTCTAGCTTTCTGCTTCATCTTGGATTATATAGTTCTGGGGCACTTCCCATGCTTTCTTGTGAGCTCAAATTTATATTAAAAGGTATTTGTTGTATTTTATCTAAAATACTTGGTGTATTGAATGAGGAGAGTTTATCTGCCATACCTCGAGAGACAGACTACTTACCTTTTCATTTTAGTGGTTTGCTGAATCCTTTTGATTATATTATTCATGCTTGCTTTATCTTTACCCAAGTCAGTGATAAACATCTTAAACTGGTCAGATCCAAAGTCCTTAGCTGGCTACTCTTTATCTGTTCTATAAGTGGACTGACTTTCTGTAGTTAGTTTAACAATTATTATATTGTCTCATTTAATATTCCCAGTGACTCTTTGAGGCAGTTGCTGCCATTTGCTGGGGCAGAAGCTAGAAACGTGAACTTTTAATATGAACTCTTTGTTTATTCCTTTGCAATTGGAACTGATCCGTACATTATTCTGAGCAGTAGGACTGTAGCACTCTTTGCTGTAGTCAAGAACTTCATAATGTATTTCACCTTAACTATTAAATTTTTTTTCTGTTTTTTATTTCTTGCCTCAAGTCTCTCAACTTTAGTGAAGTATCCATACTGCCACCAGTTATCTCACTAAAACACACATTTAATAAAAACTTCTGATGTATCCTTCTTTGTTTTATAGGACAAAATTCAACTCATTAGCATGGCAGGATAAGCCCTCTTCTTTTCCATATCTTATCTCCACTTCTCACCTCTCTGTTTTTCAGCTACTTGCTTCGCACTATAACCAACACCAATTTCTAGGAAAGGACTTGATACTCTTTCAATATATCATGCTGTTTCATTTGAGGAGTTTGAACATTAAATTGTCATGAAACTAGATTCTTCTTTTTTTTTGGTAATTAATGTCTTTATTTTATTTTATTCATTTATTTTCAAACCACTGGGTCCAGGACTTGAACCACAGCGTCAGCCATGTGGGATACAATGCCTTAACCACCACACCACCTGCTGGCCTAAAACCAGTTTCTTTTGCAGTTGACATTGAACATTGAACTGAACCATCAAATTGACTTTCTCTAAATACAATTATCCAGTTACCTAAAAAAAAAAAAAATTGTTTTTGGGACCAGCAGTTAGCGTAATGGCTATGTTGCTGGACTCCCAGGTAGTCGACTACCGTTCAAGTTCCGGATCCGGCAGCTTAAACTCACGCCAGGCACGTGTGCGTGCGTGCCCAAGATCCCAAGAGGAGAATGGAGGAGAAAGGATTGCGGCATTGCCATCTGCCCTGGGGGGTGATTTTTCGCTTTCTGCCTCTCTGTCTCTGTCTTTCTGGCGAGCGCACACACCCTATAGCAAAAAAACCTCTCCAAAAAAGAAAAAAAAAGAAATAATTGTTTCTAAATCTAGCATAACTTTCTTACTCTTTTTCCACAAGAAATCCTCAAACCCTCAGGGGTCTATGTATTCATAATGCAATGCCTTTCTTAATTTTACTTAAAAATTAGTAGGCTATTTCAATGGCAGCAAACCCCAATAGGGCAATTTGAAAAAGCATGTGTGTATGTATGTCTTCCTGTACATTCTGAGTGTTGACTAAATGTTCTTATTAATAGAGCCAAAACTTTATGAAATGTTTTTGCCCCTTTTCATCAGAGCATAGATTTTTTTTTATATTGTATTTATTCTTATAGTCACCTTCTTCAATTCAGTTTTTTAATCAGTTGGCATTTACCACTGAATACTTGTGAAATCTTAAAAGCTTAAGATTCCATCTTTTGTAAAATGGGTATGTACTTTTATGGTTTTTGTAAACTCTATATTTATATAAAAGAAGGGCTAGCTGTAGAAGATTTAGTGTGTGACATTTCAGATTATAGAGTATATCAGTTTATACTAATAGAGAATTTTAAATGCATATATAGATTTCACTCTTAATCCAGCTAGGTGTTTCTTAAGTTTGAAGTGCTTAAGATAAAAGTCCTTTAAAATACATACTATAAATTTTCATAAATAGGAAATTGAATGATTATTAATCAGCCTATGGCTACAGTGGGGAAGGAAACAAAAAAGATTATACGTTCTAGAAAATGCTTGCCATACGGAGTCCTGGTAGAAAACAGATGGCATACCAAAACTGGTGGTTTGAGGAGAGTTTAATGAAAGGACTCTTTATGAAGATGTAAGTAAGGTTTAGAGAGGGTTCCAGAAAGAGAATATGCAGGATCTTGGGTCTGTCAGAGGAGACGTTATCACCCTTCAGCCTCCAAGAACAATGGAGGGAGTAGGCTGAGTAATCTAGAAAGCATAGTTGTATAGAAAGGACACTTGGCAGAAGCAGTGGCCTTCAGTCAACATGTGGTGACTCTGGAGCCAGATCGTACCCTACTTACCTTCCTGAACTTCGGCCCAGTACATCCTGTTGGCTGATCCAACTGGAAGTCCGAGGGCAAGGGAACTTGTTGATTTGGTCCGTGATGACCATCTTCTGAGGCACAATGGGACAGAAAGGGATGGGAAAGCAGATTTACAAGTGTAAGTGGAAAATACTGGCCAAAGTAGAAGGAATAAAGCAGGGTAAAAGCAAATACTAGTGATGTATCATTTTCTGTAATGTTGAGTTTTTCCTTTCATTTTAAAATTCCATGACACAAGTTTTAGAAATGTACAAAAGCCAGAAACTGCATTGGTAATTTTATAAGATGATATTGTTTGATTCGATATATTTTCTTTGAAAAATTTTTTTTTATTAATGCCAGATAATACTTTTTTAAAAGGCCAACAAGAAATGTGAAGAGGCACGTCAAGAAAAAGAAGCAATGGTAATGAAGTATGTAAGAGGGGAGAAGGAATCTTTAGACCTTCGAAAAGAAAAAGAGATACTTGAGAGAAAACTTAGAGATGCAAATAAGGAATTTGAGAAGAACACTAACAAAATTAAGCAACTTTCTCAGGAAAAAGGACGCTTGCACCAGCTGTATGAAACAAAGGTATGACTTGTGCCATCGTACCTTATTTGAAATGTATTCTCTTTGCTTTTCCTCCTTTAAGTAATTGTAGCTTAACATGTTTAAAACACTCAAACATAAAGTTGTTATTATTACTTTACTTTCCAAGAACATGAACATTTTAATATTCCAGTGTCTCCTTACATGCGTGCTAGAAAGGTTTGCTGCGGAAAAGATGAGGTATGAGCACATAATTGTCTATTAACTTTTTCTTGGTAGATCTTTTTAAAAACTTTCTTTTTTAAAATTTATTTAAAAAATTTTTACAAAGTGTGTCTGCTCACCAGACAGAGAGAGGGAGAAAAAGGCACCCTCCCCCACCCCATGGAGAACGGTCATGCCACAATCCCTTTTTCTCCGTCTCTTCCTACTGTTAACCCAACTGTGCCCAGTGTGTTTTTCAAGTCAATGGATCCAGGATGCAAATCATGAGGCAGCCAGGTGGGATTCAGCCACCTAAACCATCATGCCATGGACTCTCCTTAAAACTTTCTTTTAAAATTTATATTTTGAAAGATCCATTTATGCCTCAAGAGAAGATTATATTTTGGTAATATATGTACGTAATAATGTCAAACATAAAGTTTTTGAGTCAGAAGAATTATTTGACCAGAATTGTTTTTTTTTCTTTTTTGAATTTGTTAGAGGACTTGTGCACTCACAGGAGAGAGACAGGGAGTGAAGAGTGAGACTGTACTCCTATGAAGGATGATCACACTGCAGTCCCTTCTCCATTTCTCCTTTTGAGATTTTTGGGCACTCATGCACTGGCACCTGGTATATTTTTCAGGCTGCTGTTCCAGGACTTGAATCATGCAATTGGCTATGTGGGATTCAGCCACCTTAACCATCACATCACTGGTCATTGAGTAGATCTTAATGTAACACCTATTAACCATAGAATAAATTTTTTTTTTCTTACAGAAAAACATGTTTCTTAGATGTTGTCTAAGGATCTAATTACTGAATTAGCTATTCAGCACTGTTGCTGTTGACTAGCAGCCAAGTTACATGGTTATGTTTCCAGTACATTATCATTTCTTGGTGATTAATGTTATTTTTTACTTATTAACTTTTAGTTCAGGAATATTGCCATTGTCCTTGGGAATTTTGCCAAAACCAATGTAGTTCATAATTCTCCTTAACGCCAAACAGTTAAAAAGAATTAAAGATATGCTTGTGTTCACAGCACATTCAAATGGTTAAAATATAAATTTTAGTCATCTTCATGTTTGTTACTTGAATTTCAGATAATACTGCCTTCTTCTCATCTGACCTTTTCAGTCAATTTTTATGGCCTGTGGACCATAGTGTGCCGGCCTGGCCCTTGATTACATAATATTACTACCCTGATTACTTTCAAGGGGGTGAAAAAGGTACAAAAGAAATTAGTTGACTGTTTAAATGAAAAATATGACCTATTTTATTGTTATTATTTTAGGAAGGTGAAACAACTAGACTCATCAGAGAAATTGACAAATTAAAGGAAGATATCAACTCTCACATCATTAAAGTAAAATGGGCACAAAACAAATTAAAAGCTGAAATGGATTCACACAAGGTGAGTACTATAATGCAGTAGAATTTTTATTAGACTAGGTTTTAGGAGCAGAAACAGTAATAGTTAATGAGGCATAACGTTTACTTCAGTGACTCCTGCAGGATAGCTTGGACCTAGATATTTGGTGACTATGAGGAAGAAATTCCCTTGCATGATAATATACACCACACACACACACAGATAATAGGTTGTTGAGAAAGTCGTGTATATTTTTCTATAAAAAAAATGTGTCACGACTTTTCCTGACAACCCACTATTTATTTATTTATGCATACATACACACACAATAATTATTTATTTCATTTTACTTATTTATTTATTATTCTTCAATTTGACCAGAAAGAGAGAACAAGAAGCAAGCCACCAGGTCTGGGACTCCCAACTGTGGTCTGCCATGTGGGAGTCTAGCATTTTAACCACTATGCCACCTGCTAGCCCCTATACATATATTTGTTAGGTTTTTGCTGTAGGGCTCACGTGATTGCTAAAGAGAGACGAAAAGAGGGAAAGTGAGAAATCACTCTCCAGGAGGGATAGCCGGCTATTCCCTAATCTCTTCTCCATTTTCCTTTCAGCATTTTGGGCATGCATACACAAGTGTCCAGGGTGATTTTCAAGCCTCCAGGTCTAGGCTTGGATTACAGTTGACCATGTTGGAGTCCAGCACCTTAACCACCATGCTACCTGCTGGCCCCACATGATTTACATTTTAAATTTAATAGAAATTTTATTCATAGTTCTTTTTGGCATGCAAAATTTTTCTTACTCGTTTTGGCATGCAAAATTTAAAGATTGTTAGAAATGTGGGAGGGAGGAAGAGAATAAGTTGTCAGAATGAAAAGTATATCGGAAATTAAAAAAAAATCTATGATGCTAACTAACATTCTTATAATCAAGAAACACATTCTTAAATATAACAAACATAAAATATTTTAATAGTAGGTTTTCTTTTTTATTTTATTTTATTTTTTTTTGAGAGGTTTTTGCTATAGGGCATATGCGTTTGCCACAGAGACAGACAGAAAGCAAGAAATCACCACCCAGAGGGGATGGCCACACTACAATCCCTTCTCCACTCTCCTCTCGGGATCTTGGGCACGCACGCACATGCGCCCCGCATGAGTTTAACCCCGGGGCCGGGACCCGAACCGCGGTCGACTACATGGGAGTCCAGCGACTTAGCCATTATGCTAACTTCTAGTCCCTTATTTTTTCTTTATAAACATAATTCCACTAGTATTATGCCTTGTGAGTATCATTTTATTGAAAAAATTATATAGTAATTTAAGATGAAGATAATAGAATGTGATAGAAAGAATAACTGAAATGTTACATAAATCAAAGAGCAAAGTTATGGAAATACCGGTTTCTAGGTTTTCAAAAAGAAGCTTACTGTTTCTGTTTAAAACTACAATCATGATCTACCTTATTAAATAATAATTTTTTTTTTTGAAAGAGAGAATTTTTTCCTACAGGGCGTGTGCACTTGCCAGAGAGACAGAAAGTAAGAAATCACCCACCTGGGGGATGGCTGCACCTTAGACCCTTTTCCATTCTTTGGGGATTTTGGGCAAGCACACACACGTGCTCCATGAGTTTTAAGGCATTGGGTCTAGGACTCGAACTGTGGTTGACAACCTGGGATCCCAACAACATAACCATTACTTCATTGCTTGTTCCACTTTATTAAATAATTCTTAAGTACAAATTTTAATAACCTTTATATTTTTTAAAAATATATTTTATTTAACTAATTATTATTATTATTATTTTCCAGTTTGATCAGAGAGAGATTTAGAAAGCAAGCCTCTAGGTACAGGACTCGAACTGTGGTCAGCCATGTGGTAGTCCAGCACCTTTAACCACCTGCCACCCACTGGCCCAAGTAACCTTTAGATTTGTATATGTAGTATTATCAGAGAAGACTGTAGGGAGAATGGTCTATATTGACTTTAGTCAAAGGAAGGCTAGAGAATAGTAGGTTCTCAAGTTTGAAGTTGACTTGATCATCGCATATGTCTGAAAAAACTAACAAGGCAGAGAAAGCACTATGAGAAAGAATAAGAATCAATCCCTAGTGTTCAACAGGGCTGATCCATTTTTTCTGTTTACCTGGGGTTATAGGATGAGGAGTGAAAAGTTAAAATCCATAATGACAGCAGTGTTTTTTAACTGCTTTGAGTTGCTTCAAGATCTGAACATAATGCTTGGTGATAAAAGAATACTACTGTTGAAGAGTAAAACACTGTTACTGATCTGTGAGCCTTGTGTGTTCCAAGAATGAGTTGTAAGAGACTCTTAACAGCAACTTTGAGGTCACACGAAATGAGATACTCTGTAAGTAGATTAGAGAAGTGATTCAAGGCTGACCTCTATGAGATTACATAGTGTAGATTCCTAGAGAATGAATAATGAATGTATTGACCTAGTATGTAGAAATTAGATACTCAGTTCTTTTTAAGTAAAGGCATTTATTAACTAGTCAGTATTTAGCTCTGTATGGAAATAAAAGCCTTAGAAGACACAGTCATTGCTTTAAAAGAGTGTCTGAGATGGGCTCTTAGTACCTATTTTATGGATTTACCTACTGGATTTGAGACAGAGTCTGGATCAAAGGATACAAGATTTCATCTTGATCTTGATAGAGTAGGCCACCACTTGAGATGTGAAGAAGCTTAAGACTCAGGAAATTTTTCTCCAGGCATTCTTTTCCAGTTTTTGGTCACCGTACTAAGTCTGAAGTATTAATACTAGAATATTGTAATTTGCTGGATCCATCGTGATCATTAGCTTCTGGTCAGACCTCCGGAGAATATGATCAAAATTAAAGTCTTGACTAGGTAGACTCTATACTCAGTTTATCAGATCAAACAATTTATTTGCCCCCCCTCAACTCTGTTGGGGGTTAACTGCAATATGTTTTTAACATGTAGTCTCTAAAGACAAAAGCTTTTTCAGTATATTGAATAGAGAAGAAAGACTTCCCGGGGCATTACTCATCTACTCACTTACCTACCAGTTCATCTGCTTGGTCTTGGAATAAGATAATCTCAATGTAGCTTAGAGTATGGCTGGCAAAAGATGTGGCAGTGGCTTTGGGCAGCCATCATTTGGCTGAATTGGGTACTTGTCAGACATTTTCTGCTTCCAAGAAAGCTACAGGAATAGAGTCTCAGGTGTCAGGTTTACAGGATACAACAGACTGTCATATTTTACAGACCTAATGTGCTAACAAGCGTTGGGATATTTTATGCCGTGTCACCTCCACTAGGTCACCTGAAGTAAGACTGAGCCGCTTAATAAGCTCTTTCTATACTTGTCATGTTGTCTGTCATAGATTCATTCTTAAATGGCATGTTTGCTCATAAAGTAGATGCTAGAGTTTGCTTTTAATTAGCTTCGCCATTTTATCTCACTTGGTAAAAGTATATTGTATTCTGTTGCTTTTCTATAATTCTACTGACTATACTTTATTGCATTTTGGAGTAACAGGTCTAACTGCACCCTCCCACCTTAAAAATAGTTAGAAAGACATTTGAAATGAAGATATTTGGACTTGAGAAACAGGCAGCATAGGACAGAGATCCCTGAGTGAAGGGAACAAATGAAGTATAACGACTGGAGAGCGCCAGGCTGCAGCACAAAAAGGAGGGCTTAAACAGAGCCCAGCACTCTACCTGAATCGAGAGGGATAAGTTCAAGATATGAGGAATGGGGCAGAGCTCCAGGACAGTAAAAGATAATCTGTAGTGGTCCCCTTCAAGTGTTTACTTACTGCGATCAGTGGATGCATATGTGTCAATCAGGAAACTGTAGAAGTGGGGAAAGGACTGACACAAGAGAGCAGGGATAGCAACTGCTAGAGCTCACACAGGGCTGGGGTCTGTTCATGTTTCCACCAGCCAGAGAAGACCTCTTTAACTGCAGGGCATCAAGTAGCTCTCAAAGGGTATTTGCTTTAATTGTGAGGGCGAGTCAGCCTTAGACGAAGGTCTGCTCTGGACCCACCCTAAAAATTTTGAAAAGAAGCCTCAAATCATATCTTTTCAAGTACGTTAATTCTGTCCCCAATCCCCTAAATTTTTAAAACGAATACAAAAAAATTGAACCACCTAGGAGCATAAAACTTTCTGTGTTTGGTATCTAACCAAAAATTACCGGGCATGCGGAGAAGCAGGAAAATATTAGATCATAAGTAGAAAGAAAAAATCAGTCAGAAGAAACAGAACCAGAAATGACAGATGATTAGAATTAGCAGACAGGGGGCGCCGGTAAGTAGTGTGGTTAAAGACGTTGGATTCCCACATAGCCGACCATGGTTTGAGTCCTGGACCTGGCAGCTTGCTTTCTCACTTTTCCTTTCTCTCAGCCTCTCTCTCTCTCGTTCTTGCTCTGTCCCTCTCTAGTCAAATATAAATACATAAAGTTAAATAAAATAATTCTTTAAAAAAAAAGAATTAGGAGATGCAGGTTGTTAAAACACAGCTATGAATATGTTCTCTGTGTTCCAGGGGATGGGCAAAAACATTGGATAAGGAGGCATAGAAGATACAGAAAAAGACTACATGGGTAAATGGCTGAGATGAAAAATGCACTGGATAGAATTATTAGCAGATTAGTCTCTGCAGAAGATAGGATTAGTGTAATTGAAAATATGGCAGTAGAAACTGTATGTTAGCAACTCACAGTTATTAACTTCTACCAAGACTTCTAGATCATGTATTCGTCTCTTTGCTTGTCATCTGAAATATAAACATCTTAAATTTAAATGTCTGAAGTTGTACTAATAGGGTGCCTCTTCCCTGCCTCAGTTAATGGCAATCCATCCTTTTAGTTGCTCAGGCCAAACAGTTTGGATGTATCCCTGCCTTCTCTTAGTCACTATATCTGGTCCCTTAACAATCTTCTCACATATTCATGTCTTAATCCACCTATCACCTTCTCCATGAGACTCCCTGGTTACCCTGGTAACACTTTTTTTTTTTAACTGTAGATTTTTACCTTAGGACGTGTGTGCTTACCAGAGAGAGAGAGAAAGAGACAGAGACTGTTAGAAGGAAAATGAGAAATCACCCCCCCAGGGAGGATGACCATGCTGCAACTCCTTCTCCGTTTTCCTCCTGGAATCTTGGGGATGCATGCACATGTGTCTGCTGTGAGTTTCAAGCCACCACGTCCAGGACTCATTCCTCGGTTGGCCATGTGGGAGTCCAGTGACATAACCACTATACCATCTGCTGGCCCCAAACCTGTTAACACTTTTAACACCTTTTCTAAAACATCCTTCATGTCCTTGCTTTATTTTTAGAACTTAGAGCTTGTCACTACTACAACATATATTTTACTTAGGTATCTGTGTCCAGCAGTAAAATAGTAGTTTTACAAGGATAGAGATTTTGTCTGTTTTCTTACACAACTCTTTTCTTGGAGCATGAGAACAGTGGGGTATAGCATGTGCTCAGCAAATAGCAAATAAATGAAATGTAGTTAGTACTTTAACTTAAACACATGTGATATGATACTCCTTTTCTCTATTCTAACGTTCATTTACTTAATAAATATGTATTTGGCATGTAATTGCTATTTTTGGATGAAGTTAAGCACATACTATGTGTGAGGCTGTGTTTTAGCTACTGATGATATGGTAGCAGAACAAAAGAGCTTGTTCTCTCTTTTTCCTCTTGTTGAGCCTAAAATTTTTTTTTTTTTTGAGAAGTTTTTGCTATAGGACGTGTGCACTTGCAAGAAAGACAGAGAGAGATAGAAAGACAGAAAGTGAGAAATCACCCTCTGGGGGGATGGCCATGCCACCATCCCTTTTCCTCCATTTTCCTCTTGGGATCTTGGGCACTCATGCACATGCACCCGGCATGAGTTTAAGCTACCAGGTCTGGGACTCGAACCGCAGTTGACTACATAGGAGTCTAGCGACATAGCCATTACACTAACTGCTGGTTCCGAGCCTACTATTTTTTTAAGAGAGATTTTTGCTATAGGGCACATGCACTCACCAGAGAGAGACAGAAAATGAGAAATCTCCCTTCCACCCCCAGCGGGGTGGGAATCCCACAGTCCCCTCTCCTCCATTCTCCTCTCAGAATCTTGGGCCCGTATGTACAAGCATCATAAGTTTTAAACCACCAGATCTGGGACTTAAACTACAGTCAACTACGTGGGAGTCCAGCAACATAATCGTTATGCTATCTGCTGGTCTCAAGCCTGTTTTTTAAACTCAATATTCAGGCTGGCTCCATGGCCTGGTGGTTATGGATCCCACATTGCCAACTGTGCATTTCAAGCCCCAGACATGGTGGCTTAAGAAGTGTAGGGAGTGTGTCTGTGTGTGTGTGTGTGTGTGTGTACCCAAAATCCTGAAGGGAGGAGAGATGGAAGAAAAGGGAGTGTGATAAGACTGTTCTACATTGGGGGTGCTTTCTCTTCTCCCTGTATTTCCATCCCTGTCTCTCTCTTTCTCTCTCTTTGGGGAATTCATGTGTGCTATAGCAAAAAAGTAATAATAATAAGTAAAAAATCGGTATTTGAAAAAGTAGGGGCAAGCAAGTGACATGGTAGTTAAGGCACTGGATTCCCACATGCAGTTCGTCTGCAGTTCAAGTTCCAGACCCAGCAGCTTGAAATTCACGTTGGGCATGTGTGTGCCTTCCTGAAATCCTGAGAGAATGGAGAAGAAGGGATTCCTGTGTGGTCATCATCTCTGGGGCGGGGGGATAGGGGGATGACTTCTCACTTTCCCTCTTTTGGTGTCTCTCTGTGAGCATACGTGCACTGTGGTGAAAAAAAACTTTAAAAAAAGTATCTAAATAATTCCATATATTTAAAAACTGGTACTGAGTTTTAATGCAAGTCAAGTAAAATATAGCAACCAAGTATGTCATAAGTACTTAATTGTATGGCAGACAGATTTATTTTTAAAAGATGATATATAAGAAGCTGTATGTGTAGGAACCAGCAGTTAATGTAATGGCTATGTCACTGGATTCCCACGTAGTCGACTGCAGTTCAAGTCCCGGACCCAGTGGCTTAACGCCGGGCGCGTGTGCGTGCATGTATGCCTGCATGCCTAAGATCCCGAGAGGAGAATGGAGGAGAAGGGATTGTGGCATGGCCATCCCCTCTGGGGGGTGATTTCTCGCTTTCTGTCTCTCTGTCTGGTGAGCACATGCGCCCTATTGCAAAAACCTCTCAAAAAAAAAAAAAAGAAGCTGTATGTGTGGGACCAGCAGTTAGCGTAATGGCTATGTCACTGAACTACCAAACTCCCATGTAATTGACCATAGTTCGAGTCCCAGATCCAGTGGCTTAAACTCACGTCGGGCGCATGTGCATGCGTGCCTAAGATCCCGAGAGGAGAATGGAGGAGAAGGGATTGCGGCGTGGCCATCCCCCCTGGGGAGTGATTTCTCGCTTTCTGTCTCTCTGGTGAGTGCACACACCCTATAACAAAAACCTCTCCAAAAAAAAAAAAAAGCTGAATGTGAAGCCAAGTATAGTTTAGATAGTACAAGAGTTGAAGGGAAAGGCATTCCAAGGGGGAGAGACAGCAGGAAAAACGGAACACAGAGAGATGAGTATTTTATTTTCACAGAGACCTAGCTAACAAAGGTGGAAGATTTAAATTTATTGGATATTCCTTCATAACTCAACAAATATTAGTTGAAAGATTAGTGTGTGACAAATACTAGTAGCTATCCAATTGTAAGCTACAGTATGGGATGGTCAAGGCATCCTTGATCATATCTGTGAAGAGGAGGAGTAGCTGCATGTACCACTTTCTGAAAGGAAGCTCCTAGAAGGAAATGATACCTCAACTCCCGTTTGAAGTCCCCATGATAGCCCAAACCACGGCACAGGATTGGTTCTCTGAAGGAGAATTAAGGAGAAAGAGCTGCAGAGCAAGGAGTGTATTTGAAAACCTGCTGCAGAAACTAGGAAGCCAGTCAAAGAACAAAAAAGGAAGAAAGAGAAGGAGAATATTGTCTTATTATGAAAACAGGGATATTCTAGGCGTCAGAGGCAGACAGAAGTGGAGTAGGGACCTAAAGAACAAGAACAGCAAAAAAAAAAAAAAAAAAGTTGATTTGATGAGAGTAGTCCCTGAAAATCTTCAGAGTTGTCATTTCACAAGAGTGGCAAGGAATTAAAAACAAATTCAGCATCAGTCTATAAAAAAGCAGTTTTAAATAGATACCACAGCTATGCACCAAAGAAGTTTTTGGTATATGTGTAGGCAGAGAACCATTTAACACTTTGTTGCTCTTGTTTTATCAGATTAATAAACTTGTACTGAAAATGCCATCAAATTTAAGCTTATTGAATGACTATCAGTTAATTGTACATAACGTTTTGATTTTTTTGCCAGAAACAAAATATTATTGCTAGAGCTGTATCTAGTCCTTCCCTACCCCCTGGTTACTTCTAACCGTTCTTCACATCGCTGTGACCAACTTTGTTTTGTCTTTTTGTCAATGCAGGAAACCAAAGATAAACTCAAAGAAACAACAACAAAATTGACACAAGCAAAGGAAGAAGCAGATCAGATACGAAAAAATTGTCAGGATATGATAAAAACATATCAGGTATGCATAACTTTGCAAATAGATTAATAACAGATTATACTATTGGGTTGTCAGAAAAGTCATGATGCATTTTTACGCAAAAAAAAATCTCAGAAAAACATGGCTTGACTTCTCCAATGACCCAATACAATGTAAGTTATTCCTGTTTCTTTACATTTCTATATCTGCCATATTTGAAGAGTAGAGTGGATTTGGTAGGGCATTTAATAAAATAACAGATTATTTCCTATGGTAAAGTTCCTATGGCTTGGGCCAGCAGGTGGTGGTGTGGTTAAGGCACTGGACTCTCACATGGTCAACCATAGTTCAAATTTCGAACCTACTGACTTGAAACTCATACCGGGGATGCCAGGTGCGTGTGTGTGTGCATGCCCAAAATTTTTGGAGGAGAAGGGATTTCCGTGTGGCCATCTCCCCTGGGGCGATTGATTTCTCACTTTTCCTCTTAATATCTGTCTCTCTGGTAGGCACACACACCCTATGGCAAAAACCTTACAAGAAGAAAAATAAAAATACCTGCATCTTAAATCAGTCTTTTTTTTTTTTAAAGAATTATTTATTTTAGTTTTATTTATTTCTTTCATTTTTTTATTTTAATTTGACCAGAGGAATACACAGAGAGAGAGAACAGGAAAGTGAGAAAGGAAGCCACCAGGTCCGAGACTTGAACCGTGGTTGGGCCATGTGGGAGTGTCCAGTAACTTAACCACCACGCCACCTGCTGGTCCCATTAAATCAGTCTTATTAATAAGCTTTCAACCAGATAAAAAACCCTAGAAAATGTCAGGAGAATGGAAAGTGTGTAACTTAAGAAAATGTGTTACTTAAAGGAAAGGAAATGTGTACCTTAAAAAATTATGATACCTATTTTAAGTATGGTATTCTTGTCTGTGCAAATTTGACATATTTTAAAATCTTTTAATATAACCTTCAATTTCGGATACATAAGCCATGTATTTCAAAGTTAGTAAACTTAATTGCAAAGCTTTCTCTTTTCAAAGTGCAAAACTAAAAAAAGTCATTGTTATTTCTGGTTTACATGTAATTGTTGTGCATTAAAGTATGAAACTTTAAAAAATTTGTCCTACTTTTTTCACTTCATTTCCATTAGGAGTCAGAAGAAATTAAATCAAATGAGCTAGATGCAAAGCTTAGAGTCACAAAAGGAGAACTTGAAAAACAGATGCAAGAAAAATCTGACCAACTAGAGGTGAGTAGTTTTGTTCTTTGTATGTACTGCACCATGTAATAAATCTAGAAAGAAATAATGAATACTTAACTGCTATCTGCTCTTAAAACCCTTTGGAAGGAGCAGATCATAAATCGTAGATCTAGTTTAGTGCATTATGATTTGTGGTTTCTTTTAAACTTTTTAAAGATGCATCATGCCAAAATAAAAGAATTAGAAGATCTGAAGAGGACATTCAAGGAGGGTATGGATGAACTACGAACACTGAGAACAAAGGTAATTAAATCTTCAGTCATGACTTTAGATGAAAGGGAAATACCTTTAATTTTGTATTTATTCTTATTTTTAAAGTGATAGGGAAAGGATATTTATATAGAAAATTTTAAAGTAAAAGAACTCAGAGGAGGTCAGCCAGTAGTATAGTGGTTAAGATGCCTGGATCTCACATCACTGATGAAGTGGTTCAAGTCTCAGACCTAGCCACTTGAGAGACATGCCAGGCACGCGTGCATGTGTGTGCAAAATCCTAAGAGGAGAAGGGATTGCAGTGAGCAAGTGCACACGCCCTATATAAAAAATTGTATTAAAAAACCAACCAAACAAAAAACCCTCAGAGGAGTAGATTAGACATTTCTTAACAGCATAATTGACTTTTATGTTGAATGAAAGTATCTTCTACGTTAGTCCCTTTGAAGGATTTGCCACACATTTCTATTTCTAGCACATTTGCTTATCCGTAATTTATCCTTGGGCTTCTGATCTAAAGACAGAATTAGTAGCGTATTAATGGAAAGATAGTTCACCTTTAGAACTGTGCCTTTATGAGACCGGCAGGTGGCATGGTGGTTAAGGTGCAAGACACTCCCACATGGCTGACCACGGTTCGAGTCCTGGACCTGGCGGCTTGCTTTCTCAGTTCCTCTCTCTTTCTCTGAGCAAATTAAAAACTAAATGGATGAATAAATAAAATTAAAAAAAAAAAACAAAACACCTGTGCCTTTATGTTTCTCCTAACTGTATTTTAATAGTCTTGGGGGTGGATATAGTTTTAATTTCTCACAGTCTATTAAACTTTTTCTGGTGTTTATAGCCTCTATTGTTAGGATAAAATCTTGCCTAATATGAATGTGATATTTTATTGCTGTGAATCATTTATTCAAAGTGTTTTTCATATAACTTCCTATTTGTTTTCTTCCCAGTTCTTTGATATGGGAAGGGAGGTCTGTCATTCTTGTTCCAATGAGGAGGTGGAAATTCATTAAAAATAAAGTAGCATGCTACAGTTTCTGTCACTAAATTGTAAGAAATATGAGACTGAAACCTAGAGTTGTTAACGCTGCATTTTTTTTTTTCCTGGAGAGATTTTTGCTACGGGACACGTGCATTTACCGACAGACAGAGACAGAGACAGAAAGTGAGAAATCACCTCCGGGGGGATGGCCATGTCACAATCCCTTCTCCTCCATTCTCCTCTCGAGATCTTTAACATGCACACACATGTGCCCAGCATGAGTTTAAGCCACCAGGTCCAGGACTCAAACCATGGTCGACTACATGGGAGTCCAGTGACATAGCCATTACACCAACTGCTGGTCCCGTGTGTTTTGTTTCTTCACGTTAGTCAAAACTGCTTTAGAACTCATTAATATGTAATCACTAAAAGGAACAAGAAAATATTATAGTTTAACTTAGTTGTCATTTGATAGGTGAAATGTCTAGAAGATGAACGATTACGAACAGAAGATGAATTATCAAAATATAAGGAAATTATTAATCGCCAAAAAACTGAAATTCAGAATTTATTGGACAAAGTGAAAATTACAGATCAGATACAGGAACAACTACAAAGGTATAAGCAATTTCTGTTTGTGTTAATAAACTTGGTTCTAAAAATTATATTTCTAAGTACAGTTAATGTTGTTAAATAAGAGCGACTTTGTTTCATGTGCCAGACCCTGTGTCAACTTTACTAGATAAACATTTCTTCTATTTCTCTCTTTATTTGAACTTTTTTGTGTTATCTTTGAGTTCCCATGATGGCTTCTAAAAATCAAAGTTTATGTTTCCTAGATACCAGCGGTAGCGATTTGTAAGACAGAGTGAATTTATTTAAGTTTCTTTGTCCATTCTTTAGCTTTCACATTCTATTACTTGCACACAGTACTTTCTTTTCTAAAAGGTAAATCTAGATTGAGATCTTCTCATGGGTATAGTTTGAGGTCAGGATCTCGTATTATTCCTTGGCTTCTTATAAAACCATTCGAACTCTACTTGTGACATTCCCTGGCAGAGCCTGAATTCAGGTTGAAATCAGATGTCTTATTTTTCATACTTCTCTGATACTCACGCTGCTGCGTGTTGCTAAAGAAATCCTCACCATGGGACCAGTAGTTAGTGTAATGGCTGTGTCACTGGACACCCATGTAGTTGACCACGGTTTGAGTCCTGGACCCGGTGGTTTAAAACTCACACTGGGCGCATGCGTGTGCTTGCCCAAGATCCCAAGTGGAGAAGGGATTGCAGCATGGCTATGCCCCTGGGTGGGTGATTCTCGCTTTCTGTCTCTCTGGTGAGCGCATGTGCCCAATAGCAAACACCTCTCCAAAAAAAAAAAAAAAAGAAAGAAAGCCTCACCATCATCCAAATCGATGCTGCTCTAAAATTTGCGGGCACTAGCCTCAGTTGGGAATACCATTGCACTTCTAATTCTACCATGTGTCCTTGGTCAGAGCCTTCTCCCCCATCCTCATAGCATTTATTTCAAACCTTATTTCTTCCTTCACACTTTGGCCTCTTCCCTGAACTCGGTTTACTCTTCGCGGGCAATTCCTCATAGAAAAAAATAGGACCTGTCAGGGAACTGCTCTTTTAACTCTTACTATCAACTCTGTGAACTTGCCTGTATCTACAGCAGTTTTTTCCAGTGCTTCTGTTACATAGAGGACATTAGCCTGCTTCTCTCTGAATCGGATTAACCCTTCTACTTCTGTGAATCGCATGGTCATCTGCTTTCTCGGGGTCTTAATTATTCCTTCTTCACCCTTTATCTCTTGCATGTCTCTACTGAATTTCTTTTTCTTTCTACATTTCAATATGATTATCTTTACAAAAAATCTTAACTCCTGGGGCTAGCAGGTTGTGTGGTGGTTCAGGCACTGGACTCTCCCACATGACTGACCATGGTTCAAGTCTTAGTCCTCATGACTTGCTTTCTCACTTTTCCTTTCTCTGTCTTGTGAATGCACATGCCCTATGGCAAAATTAAAAATAATAATAAATAATAATACATTATTTTTTAAAAATCTTAACTCTTACAGCCTTCCTCTATCAGTTTATTTTTTTCCTTCACAAATTTACCATGATAGAATTGTGTGTTCATTCTCTGTTTCTTTATTTTCTATGTCCTGTTATTCTCTACATCATTCTAGCTTCTACCCTGACATTTCATTAAGAAGTAGTGCCTCCTTAAATATTGTAGACACATCTCAACCCAGCCTTGCTTGAATTTTTAGTACCTTTTTTTTTTTTTTTTTTTTTTCAGGTTTTTTGCTATAGGGGAAAAGACTGCTTGCTGGAGATACAGAGACAGAAAGCAAGAAATCACCCCTAGGGGGATGACTACACTGCAGTCCTTTCTCCTCCGTTCTCCCTCTCAGGATTTTGAACATGCATGCACATGCACCTAGAGCAGGTTTTAAGCCACCTGGTCCGGGACTCCAACCGCAGTTGATTACGCTCGGGTCCAGTGATGTAACCATTACGCCATCTGCTGGTTCCAATTTTTAGTATCTTTTAACACCAAAAAACTCATTGTGTGGCTTGAGAAGCTCTGGTCCTTTGGCTTTGTTCTCAGTGTGCTCTCTTGGTGTTCTTCCCCACTTTCTTCTGGCCAGTTTCTCAGTCTCCTATGGGCACTTGTCTTTATGTTATAAAGAAAGCCCTGTGTTGTTCTCATTTTATTATACCCCTGGTGATCTTTACTATTCCAGAAGTATTCTGCAGAACCTTTGAATTCTTGCCTTCAGCCCTTTGTGCTGAACTTCAAGCACACGAGTATCAGATACCTCGAATTTTAACATGTCCAAAGCTGGTTCCTCCATCCTGCCCACAAGTAATTTTATATATCTTTTCATATATCTGGGATGAATGATGAGTGTAGTATCCACTGCTGTATAACTCAGGAACCTAGGGACCATCCTTGACTCTTCTCTTCTACCCCTCACACATCTAACCAGTCGCAGAATGTTAGTGACACTAACTCTTTAATTAATCTTTCAAATCCATTTACTTTTCTACTCCACTGTTGTTGTCATAGTCCACACCACTATCAGCTTTCAGCTAGAAAACTGTGAGTTTGAAAACTGGTTTTTCTGCTTATTTCCTCTCTAATCCTCTACCCAAACTGTGATTAGCATAATCTTTTTTTTTTTTTTTTGGAAGAGATTTTTGCTATAGGGTGTATGCTCGCTCCAGAAAGAGAGAGGCATAGAGACAGAAAGTGAGAAATCACTCCCACAGCGGGGATGGCCACACCGCAATCCCTTTTCCTCCATTCTCCTCTCGGGAAGTTGGACATAAACACACACATGCCTGGCATGAGTTAAAACCACCAGGTTTGGGACTCGAACTGTGGTCTACTACATGGGAGTCCAGCGACATAGCCATTATGGCAACTGCTGGTCTCAGCATAATCCTTTTAAAAAGGAGATGTTTTCAAAAATCTTTCTGTGAAATCTCAATTGCCTTAAAAATTACCTGATGAATTGCACGCAGCTTATAAGATTAGTGACCTGATCTGTCCATGGCATCTTCTGTACTTTTCCTCTCTTTCATTCTTGTATTTCAGCTTTAGTTGGTTAACAATGTTTATGGACTGCCTCATTTGTTAATTGCTGGGGGGATAGTGTAGTCCTCATTATACTGGACATCTATTAGTACAAAAAAGAAGTCTGTCTTCTGTTCCCTTCTGGACTTAGTACATACCAGTCCATGTACCTAGAACATAATTTGTACCCCTGGCATCGTCTGCTTTTCATTTAGTTGAGGGATCAACAAACTATGACCCAAAGTCAAACCCTACCCACCACATCTTTTTGTAAATGTAGTGTACATGTAAACCCATTCATTTCCATATTGTCTATGCCTGCTTTCACACTGCAGTGGCAGAGTGGGACAGTTGTAACAAAACCCTCACAGCTCACAAGCACTTTTCACAGGGAAAAGTTGCAGATCCATACTTTAAGTTTAATTCAAGCCTCACACTAGTTTAGGTAACCTGCTGTGGTTTTCATTATCAAAAATGTGTCTTTACACTCACATAATCACATATTTAACTAAGGACTCTTTGAAAGCATGGGCCATGTTGGTGCTTATATTGGTTCATTGGAAAAGTCATGATGCATTTTTACATAGAGAAACAGAAAAGTACATCCTGACTTCTCTGAGAACCCAGTATTTCCAGCACTTAGTTCCCAGCATATAATAGACATTCCTAATATTTGGATCAATAACTAAAAGTAACTTTATAAAACATTTCATTAGATAAAAATTCCCAAACCATTAATTTACTGTCTTTTAATAGTTAAAATTTTTTCTTTTAAATATAAACTTTGTTTTTTAGAGGTAAACAAGAAATTGAAAATTTGAAGGAAGAAGTGGAAAGTCTTAATTCTTTGATTAATGACCTACAAAAAGACATCGAAGGCAGTAGGAAAAGAGAATCTGAACTACTACTGTTTACAGAAAAGCTTACTAGTAAGAATGCACAGCTTCAGTCTGAATCCAATTCCTTACAGTCACAACTTGATAAACTTTCCTGTAGTGAAAGTCAATTACAAAGCCATTGTGAGCAAATGAAACAGACAAATAGTAATTTGGTAAGTATAAATGAATATTTACCTTTAAAACAATGTAGTAAAAAGTACAAATTAAATTTTTTCACAGCAAAAATATTAGTGGTGGTTGATTTAACTCTTTTAGAGAGTTAAGAGTTGATTTAGTTCTTTTTTAGTTGGTACTGACTTTCTGGTAATTTCAGATGCTGTAAGAAATGTCAGCTTTTCCTTCCAACTGATGTAATTTATAATAAAAATTTCTCCCTAAAATGATTATAATGATATTTCACTTTTTTTTTTTTTTGGAGAGATTTTTTTGCTATAGAGCGCGTGCGCTCGCCAGACAGACAGAGAGACAGAAAGCGAGAAATCACCCCCCAGAGGGGATGGTCACGCTGCAGTCCCTTCTCCTCCATTCTCCTCTCGGGATCTTGGGCACGCACGCACACGTGCCCAGCGTGAGTTCTAAGCCACCGGGCCCGGAACGCGAACCGTGGTCGACTACATGGGAGTCCAGCGACATAGCCATTGCACTAACTGCTGGTTCCCAATGATATTTCACTTTTGAAAGAAGAAAGTTTTTGTCATTCATAACTGTAATTATTATGTATTTTTAAAGTTCTTATTTTTTTTTTAATAGTTGGTTTAAAGGTCAGCTCTGTGGCAAAACTGCTCCAGAGAGGTTGAATCCTACATGATCATCACAGTTCTAGTCCCTGGCCTGGTCAGCCTACAACAGGCTCTGACTAGACCCTGTGGAAGGTGCTCGTCTTTCCCTCTCTTTCTCTCGCATTCTGACATATGTGCATGCAGTCTATAATAAATAAGAAATGATGTAACGTTTTCAAATTATGAGAGTATCTTCAAGTTACTCATAAAAATAATCTGAAACTTTAGTCCAGAAATTCACATGTTGGTTTGCTTGTGTGGAATGGCGTGTTCATTAATATATCCTTCCTTACTATATGAGAAGTTCAGTAAATACAACCTGGTAAGGAATGATAGATGAATCTCTAATATCTAGGACCTTTTTAAGTTTTCAAAACTTAAGTGTTTTAAGTTTTTTTTTTTTTAAGTATGTTAAGTTTTAAATTATGAGCTATAAGTAAATATTAATAAACTATATTAAAATTGGGGGTTGGTTTGTTTTCTCTTATTTAGGAAAATAGATTGTTGAAAGAGGAAGAACTACGAAGAGAGGAAGTCCAAGCTCTGCAGGCGGAACTCACTTGTAAACAAACGGAAGTTAAAGCATTGAGTACCCACGTAGAAGAGTTAAAAGATGAGTTAGTAACTCAAAGACGTAAACATGCCTCCAATGTCAAGGATCTCACCAAACAACTTCAGCAAGGTATAAAGTCGAATGTGTTTATTTCTTTTAATCATTAAAGATTTTATAGAAAAAATATATTTCACATCAAGTTCTAGGACTTTGGTTGAAACTGTGCGTTCTTTTTAATGTTCATAAACCACAACGGTGAACCTTTTGCAATTCCGTGAATAGTCTGTCTTCTATGCTGAAGGACATTTATTCACAGAACCACAGAATGTGAGAATTGGACAAGTACTTTAGGACAGTTAGCATCTAAACTGTTTTTTATTATATATTCTTGCTAGTAAAAAGTATTTAAGAATTTGTTCTCTAGTGTATATATGCTTGTTTATAAGTTTTAAGTATATACTACTTATTTATGTAAGAAAATAGAAATTTTAAAAGAACTATCGTTAAATATAAATAGCAGTTCTGATATTTTCTCCCTATAAATGCCTATGAATTGTCCTGTGCAGCAGCAAGGGTGCTTGCACGTTACAGACCTCTAACTTCAGATCCTTGAGGCCTAACTCTTCATCTGGGTCTTAAGAGGCAGACCCAGAAAAGTTATAGATTGCCCAAACACAGCCATTGACAGCTAGAACTGGAACCCAGATTTCTTTAATTTAAACATTCATACAGCTATTGGGTGTCCATGCTCATAGAAAAATGGAATTAAAATTCAAGTTTATTTTGGTGTAAAAATGTTTGAAATTCATGCATAGTTTTTTCATGATGTATGTTTTTCATGAATATGTTTTTCATGAACTTTTTGAAGAACTCATATGTTTAAGATAAAAGAGACAGCATTTTCTTAATATGAATATATTCAGATAATTGCTGTAAAGAATTAATTTTGTTTTTATGGGAACTAGCAGTTAGCGTAATGGCTACATCGCTGGATTCCCACGTAGTCGACCGCGGTTCGCATCCCGGATCCGGTGGCTTAGAACTCACACTGGGCACATGTGCGTGTGTGCCCAAGATCCCGAGAGGAGAATGGAGGAGAAGGGATTGCGGCGTGACCATCCCCCCTGGGGGGTGATTTCTTGCTTTCTGTCTCTATGTCTCTCTCTGTCTGGCTGGCGAGCGCATGCGCCCTATAGCAAAAACCTCTCAAAAAAAAAAAAAAGAATTAATTTTGTTTTTATAGATATAATTGAAGGGTACTATAAGGTACTATAAGGACCTTCTAAATTTTTCAGGACTCTAAAATTAAATTAAATTTAGTGTTACTAATGCCAGTATCAGATATCATAGTGCCTCTATATTTTGCATTTAAGCTGTACCTTTCCAAATGTCATTTTATATGAATGAATCTTCTAAAATATGTATTCAAGAATTTTCTCTCTTATGCCATTTTTACCTAAGTGATTTTAGTGATTAATATCAGATGGTCGAGGGACCATCAGTTAGCGTAACGGCTATGTCACTGGACTCCCATGTAGTCGATCGCGGTTCAAGTCCCGGACCCGGTGGCTTAAACTCTCACTGGGCGCGTGTGCGTGCGTGCCCAGGATCCCAAGAGGAGAATGGAGGAGAAGGGATTGCGGCATGGCTATCCCCCCTGGGGGGTGATTTCTTGCTTTCTGTCTCTCTGTCTCTCTGTCTGTCTGGAGAGCTCACGCGCCCTGTAGCAAAAACCTCTCCAAAAAAATTTAAAAAATCAGATGGTCAAGGAAGAAGGTCATGATCTTATCCTAGGTGATAGCTTTTTTTTTTTTTTTCTTTTTTTTTTTTTATAGCTCGAAGAAAATTGGATCAGGTTGAAAATGGAGGCTATGATAAAGAAGTGAGCAGCATGGGAAGTCGTTCCAGTTCTTCAGGTGAAAAAATGAATGGCTTTAGTTGTTATTTAGTGATTAAATAGGATTTTTTACTCTAAGAAGTGTTACTATGCTTTGTTTTATTTTGAAGTATAAAAAGTGGGTTAATATATAATTATACTATAAAACATGTTTCTCCTAATTTATTACTCAGGGTTTCAGATTTGTCATGGGGTTTATATGATCTGTCTCCGACCTCCTTTATTCTTAACTGCTACTGCTTTATTCTGTGCAACAACTTCCTCACCCACTTTCAAAATTCGGATTTGTATCTCTCCATATAGATAGATGGAACATATATGATCTCTCTCATTCTCTCTTACATATTTCTTGTAACACCTGAGAACTAATGAAATGGTCATTATATGCTATATATGTATGTGTACACATACTTGTGTGTAGGTGTGTGTGTATTTATTTACTTAAATTTATTTATTTTAATTTTGCTGTAGAGCACATGTGCTTGCCAGAGAGAAATGAGTATGGAATTGGGGGGCAGTGTGTAGGGACAAAGCATCCCTATGGGGGAGGGTCACACTGAAATCCCTTCTCCTTCATTTCTCCTTTTGGGATTTTGGCCATACATGCATGCAGACATGCCTGGCAAGTTTTCTCAAGCTGCATAGTTCTGAACTCAAACCATGCCATCAGCCTTGTGGGGATCCAGCTGCTTTAACCACTGTGCTGCTAACTGGCCCTATTTTTTAATTTTTTAGTTTTTTTCATGACAGATATATGTAAAGTCTAAACTTAAAATTAATAGACTATAAAGTTATGATTGATAACATTGTAAGCATAATAATTAGTAAAATATCAGTGTAGTTATTGTTTTAGAATGCCAAAACCATGCCAGATCTTGAAACTTATCATTTATTCTGCATAATAGCCATGTGACATAAGTGTGTTACCATTTCTGTCTGACAGATGAGGAAACCAAGGTTTAGAGAGGTTACATGATTTGCCTAAAATCCACAACAGAGCTCTCTGACTCCAGAATATTTGCATGCCACTATATTATACAACCTCTAGGAGATGCACATTAGGGGGAAGAAGTCATTAATTGTTACAGTTAGTGGAAAAAATATGTAGTAGAAAGAACATGGATTTCAAATTACAAATAAACCAGCTGTGCCTTTATTCGTTACATATTGTGGATAAACTATTATTAGGTTGGAAAAAACATCTCTGTAGGAAATCAGAAGGTTTAGTTGGTAATAATAATAGCTAACACAAGTGCTTATTCTATGCTCTGTTCTAAGTGCTTCACATGTATTAACTCATTTAAATGAGGATAACAATTCTAGGAGGTAAATATTATTACTGTGTCTCATTTCAAGGTGAAGTAAACAAGGCATAGAAAGTTATATACCCTGCCAAGGTCTCAGAGCTAGTGTAAGTGGAGGAGTAGAATTGGGACCCGGGCAGGCTGGCTCTGCGGTTTAACCCACTATACACTGTCCCTGCTTTCTCCTTCCACACACAACCCTCCCCTTCTCCTCCTGCTTTCTTTTCTCTTATCCTGTGAGTTAGTTTTGGTCTCACTACACTTATTAGTCTGACCTTTTCTTCTCTTTAAGCTTCTTTCTTTACATTTGTCTCCCTAACTGTCTTTTTCTTGAGATTCTTGTTTCTCTATTGCCATATCCTATTCCTGAGAGACATTAATAGACCCTTTTGATACTTCTTTCATCAGTTAGTCAGAAACCAATTCTGCCCTGTTTGACCTGTGTTATGTTTTGTGTCCAATCTTTGTTATATAGTAAATATTTGAAAATGATACTAGAATAAATAATACATGAGATGAGAGACGACTGTTGAGTAAATATAATATCTAAACCAAGTTTTTTGTTTTCAGGGTCCCTTAATGCTCGAAGCAGTGCAGAAGATCGATCTCCAGAAAATACTAGGTCATCAGTAGCCGTGGATAACTTTCCAGAAGTAGACAAGGCCATGTTGATTGAAAGGATAGTTAGGTTACAAAAAGCACATGCCCGGAAAAATGAGAAGATAGAATTCATGGAGGACCACATCAAACAATTGGTAGAAGAAATTAGGAAAAAAACAAAGTATGTATTATTATGGTAGCACATTCTGTGTTCAGGAGGAACATATATGATCTCTCTCATTCTCTCTTACATATTTCTTGTAACACCTGAGAACTAATGAAATGGTCATTATATGCTATATATGTATGTGTACACATACTTGTGTGTAGGTGTGTGTGTATTTATTTACTTAAATTTATTTATTTTAATTTTGCTGTAGAGCACATGTGCTTGCCAGAGAGAAATGAGTATGGAATTGGGGGGCAGTGTGTAGGGACAAAGCATCCCTATGGGGGAGGGTCACACTGAAATCCCTTCTCCTTCATTTCTCCTTTTGGGATTTTGGCCATACATGCATGCAGACATGCCTGGCAAGTTTTCTCAAGCTGCATAGTTCTGAACTCAAACCATGCCATCAGCCTTGTGGGGATCCAGCTGCTTTAACAAACACTGTGCTGCTAACTGGCCCTATTTTTTAATTTTTTAGTTTTTTTCATGACAGATATATGTAAAGTCTAAACTTAAAATTAATAGACTATAAAGTTATGATTGATAACATTGTAAGCATAATAATTAGTAAAATATCAGTGTAGTTATTGTTTTAGAATGCCAAAACCATGCCAGATCTTGAAACTTATCATTTATTCTGCATAATAGCCATGTGACATAAGTGTGTTACCATTTCTGTCTGACAGATGAGGAAACCAAGGTTTAGAGAGGTTACATGATTTGCCTAAAATCCACAACAGAGCTCTCTGACTCCAGAATATTTGCATGCCACTATATTATACAACCTCTAGGAGATGCACATTAGGGGGAAGAAGTCATTAATTGTTACAGTTAGTGGAAAAAATATGTAGTAGAAAGAACATGGATTTCAAATTACAAATAAACCAGCTGTGCCTTTATTCGTTACATATTGTGGATAAACTATTATTAGGTTGGAAAAAACATCTCTGTAGGAAATCAGAAGGTTTAGTTGGTAATAATAATAGCTAACACAAGTGCTTATTCTATGCTCTGTTCTAAGTGCTTCACATGTATTAACTCATTTAAATGAGGATAACAATTCTAGGAGGTAAATATTATTACTGTGTCTCATTTCAAGGTGAAGTAAACAAGGCATAGAAAGTTATATACCCTGCCAAGGTCTCAGAGCTAGTGTAAGTGGAGGAGTAGAATTGGGACCCGGGCAGGCTGGCTCTGCGGTTTAACCCACTATACACTGTCCCTGCTTTCTCCTTCCACACACAACCCTCCCCTTCTCCTCCTGCTTTCTTTTCTCTTATCCTGTGAGTTAGTTTTGGTCTCACTACACTTATTAGTCTGACCTTTTCTTCTCTTTAAGCTTCTTTCTTTACATTTGTCTCCCTAACTGTCTTTTTCTTGAGATTCTTGTTTCTCTATTGCCATATCCTATTCCTGAGAGACATTAATAGACCCTTTTGATACTTCTTTCATCAGTTAGTCAGAAACCAATTCTGCCCTGTTTGACCTGTGTTATGTTTTGTGTCCAATCTTTGTTATATAGTAAATATTTGAAAATGATACTAGAATAAATAATACATGAGATGAGAGACGACTGTTGAGTAAATATAATATCTAAACCAAGTTTTTTGTTTTCAGGGTCCCTTAATGCTCGAAGCAGTGCAGAAGATCGATCTCCAGAAAATACTAGGTCATCAGTAGCCGTGGATAACTTTCCAGAAGTAGACAAGGCCATGTTGATTGAAAGGATAGTTAGGTTACAAAAAGCACATGCCCGGAAAAATGAGAAGATAGAATTCATGGAGGACCACATCAAACAATTGGTAGAAGAAATTAGGAAAAAAACAAAGTATGTATTATTATGGTAGCACATTCTGTGTTCAGGAAATCATTGTTCAACATGGTGAAGTTACTATTTTCAAATTAATCATATCAAGAGCCTACCTTTAAAAAATGATTCTAAATTACATTCACTCAGTTTTTAATCTCTTATGATCACCTATTGTAGGTTTGGAGAATACAGAGATGAAAGGAAACACGGGTCTTTAAGGTGATAGAGTTCAGTAGATATTAATTTTTTTGTTTGTGGGGTTTTTTTTTTTTTTCCCCAGAGGTTTTTGCTATAGGGCACGTGTGCTCATGAGACAGAAAGCGAGAAATCACCCCCTGGGGGGATAGCCACACCGCAATCCCTTCTCCTTCATTCTCCTCTCGGGATCTTGGGCATGCATGCACATGTGCCCGGCAAGAGTTTTAAGCCACTGGGTCCGGGACTCGAATCACGGTCGACTGCATGGGAGTCCAGCGACATAGCCATTATGCTAACTACTGGTCCCTAGATGTTAATTTTTTAAGATACTAAAATAACTCTGTATTTAAAACTGTTCTTTAAAACATATAGTGTTCGCACCCAGCAGATGGTGTAATGGTTATATTGCTGGACTCCTGTGTAGTCTACCGTGGTTCCAGTTCCAGATCTGGTGGCTTAAAACTCATGCCAGGTGTGTGTGCATGCCGAAGATACTGAGAATGGAGGAGAGGGGATTGTGGTGTGATCATCCCCTATGGGAATTTCTTGCTTTCTGTCTCTGTCTCTCTGGTGAGTGCACGTACCCTATAGCAAAAAATCTATAAAAAAAAAAAAGCGGTATTGTTCTACGTTGCTTTCTCTTTTCATGACTTTGGCTTTTAAGAGATGTGTAGAATTGTGGATTATTTTCCTGTAGGGTAGGGACATAGTGTGTTGATTTGTTGGGCACTGTCTTAGTTTGTTACTGTGTTGCTATGCTAAACAGAAATATTAGGTTGTTGGAAAAAGCATGCTGCATTTTTGCATTAAAAAATTATGTCATGACTTTTCTGATAACCTAATGCTTAACACTGGGTAATTTATAAATAATACAAGTTTATTTGGTTCACAGTTTTGGTTCACTTTCACAGTGACTAGAAAGCCCAAGGCATAGGACTCCACAGCTGGCTGGCCTCTGCAACATCACAACATGGCAGAGAAAAGCAGAAGGGTCTGCAGATATATGCAGAGAGACAGACACACACACACACACACACACACACACACACACATACATACCTGAAAGCAGCTCATTTATTAGCAACCAGCTTATGCAGGACTAACCCTTTTCTGCAAGAGCAAATACTCATCATTAACAAACACTAATTCATTCATGAGTTCAGTACCCCCATGATCCAAACACTGCTCACTACGTGTCACATCTTGAAGGTGTCACCATCTCTCAACACCATTAATCGGGAACCAGTTTTCAACACATGGACCTTTGGGGGACAAACCATGATCTAAACCTTAACAAGCACCTATTAATTTAAGGCACTATGCCTATAGCTTAGCAATATTTCCTTGATTCTTTATACTACTCAGAGACTGAGATCTCTGAATTTACAAATTTGTTAACTGGGGCTCACGTCAAATCTCTACATGGTCCAGGACTGTCACTTGTTTGGATCTGTTCTGACAGAACTAGAACTGGAGATGTACACCTAGCCTAGTCTAGATTCAGACTGACTCTAGATCCTATGCTGTGCCAAATCCCTCTCCCAAATACCTTATTTAAATAAGATTTAGTTTTTGTTTTTAAGTGCCAGAGGGCATGCGTGCTTGCTGGAGAGAGACAGAGAGACAAAGAGAGAAAGCACCCCTAATGGAGCACGGTCATGCTGCACACACATTTCTCCATCCTGTCAGGATCTGGGGCATGTGCACGCTTGAACTCTGATGTCTTTCAATCTGCAGGGGGCTGGATTTGAACCGTGATCGGCCATGTGGGATCCGGCTCCCTTACTCACTATGTTGTGTGCCTAGCCATAAACATTGTTGTTTTTATATTACAGATCTTTTTCCATGACATTAAAATTTTTATTTTGAAATAATTTTAGACTTACAGAAAAGTTTGCTTATGACTTTTAAGAGTATAATACAGAAAGAGTTCTAAATTTTGATAATATAAGATAGAAAATATTGACCAAAATTGGAGCAATAAAGAAAATGCCCAATTATTATGAGTAAAGTAGTAAAGAAATAGAAAGGCTGTTTTTATATGTGTTTAATATAAATGTCATACTAGAGTGGAAATGGGATTTTAAGAAATCATCTGAATAAGGAAAGTTTATTTTCTAATAGATTATTAATCTAATAAATTTATTTTATGGTAATCATCTTTATACTTAAGATTAAATGACTCTTGCAAGTTCCATGTTTAGAGTTCTAAATACACAATTGATAGTGTCATTTTCTTTTGCAGAATAATTCAGAGTTATATTTTACGGGAAGAATCAGGCACACTTTCTTCAGAGGCATCTGATTTTAATAAAGTCCATTTAAGTAGACGGGGAGGCATCATGGCATCTTTGTATACATCTCATCCAGCTGATAGTGGACTAACATTGGAGCTCTCTTTGGAAATCAACCGAAAGCTACAGGCTGTTTTGGAGGATACGTTACTGAAAAATATTACTTTAAAGGTATTTGTATTTCTCATGTACTTACTAATAACTATGGAAAAACAGTGTCTCTTTCATAATCTGTTCTAGCACTTAGAGGGATTATTTCTGTAACTCTGTAATACAACGTAACTATTTCACCCTAAGTAACATTTTAATGTTTTCCTTTTTTATTTTTCGAGAGAGATTTTTGCTATAGGGCACATGTGCTCACTACAGAGACAAAAAGTGAGAAATAACCCTGGGATGGTGGTGATCATGCTGCAGTCCCTTCTCCTCTTGGAATTTTGGGCACACATACACATGTGTCCAGTGTGAGTTTTGAGCTTCTGGGTTCGAGACTCGAACTGCGGTTGACTATGTGGGAGTCCAGCGATGTAACCATAGTGTCATCTGCTGTTCCCTGTTTTCCTCTTTTTGAAAAGCACAGTTCTTTTAAGCTAGTCAGAAAAACGAAAGTAAAAATAGTCTTAGCTATTGGGTAGACAGTAAAACAAGTTGTTGACTTTGTGATGGATGGATGGCCTTTGACATAATTATATTGTCGAAACAATTTTTTAAATTGTGGCATTTCTAATTTCCAGCTTTACTTTATTTTTTGTAGCTATTATCTGACCCAACTACAGTTGACCTCTGTATCTGTGGGGGTTGACTCTAGGCTTCCCATCTTTGCCTCGCAGATACTAAAATTTATGGATGGTCAAGTCTCTTACATTGGCTCTCTGTATCCAGAGCTCCAGATACGTAGAAAATTCAATCCATGGTTGACTGAATCCATGGATTTTGGGGGTCGGGAAAGCTAACCGTATTCTATTTTTCTATGTCTGGGCCACATAGATAGTGACTAGTAATAGTAATACATTTTTAAAAATAATTATTATGCCAGGTAATGGCATGGTGACTAAGGGACTGGATCCTATATAGCCAACTGCAGAGTTCGAGCTCATACCTGATGGCTTGAAAAATATTCCGGGTGCATATTTTGAGCCCAAAGTCCTGAGGAGAATGGAGAAGGGATTACAGTGTAACTATCGCCCTGGGAGGTGTTTACTCACTTTCTTTTCTCTCTCTCTTGCTCTCTCTCTCTTTTTCCCTCTTTGTCTTTAGTGAGCACAGGTGCCCCATAGCAAATTAAAAGATAATAATAATTCTTAAATCTAATACATACTTATTTATGCACTAAAAATGGCCGTAGCTTTAGTAAAAGGATTAAGTACTACTGACAAAGGGCTACTGTACCGAAAACAGCTGTGTGTGGTTTCGCTAGTTAATTTCACATACCATTTAAGACTAATCACTATCAGTTTCAAAATTCAAGCAAAAATAGTTCAAATTGAGTCTTTTTATTTATTGTTCTTAATAGTTCTGCCTTCTCATCTCTTTTTCCTCCAATTATTAAAGGAAAATCTACAAACACTCGGAACAGAAATAGAACGTCTTATTAAACACCAGCATGAACTAGAACAGAGGACAAAGAAAATCTAATACCAGACTCTTGCTCAGTAAACAAAAGCCACACAGGAGCAGGTGCCACTGACCAGTGTTGTTGGGAACATTTCTCTGCTTTGTGTGTCAACCAGTAAAAAGATTTGTCTTGCTTCATCTGTACAAAAAAGTATCCTTTTGCAATATGAATGCATTTCTGTACATACTGTAAGAGTGTAAGCATTGATGAAATTGGTTTTTATGTAGTGCAATACGCAGTCGTTGAATCTCAGCAACTTGATTACTCATAGTCAGGAGAAGTACTGAACATTACTACAGAACTTTTCAAACCCCTTGTTCATACTTCTTCCCTTCAAAATATAGTGTCAAAAATGATTCAGCTTCTTAAAATTATGCATGAAAAGATAGGTGTTGATCATTCAGTGCTATGCTATTCTTCCAACATCAAAAAACAAAACCAATGAAATGATAAAGTTTTGTTTTCCCATTCCAATATATCATTTGGTTGTGTTTTAGGGATGCAGATGAGAATATAAGTCTTTTATTTTGATTTTAGTTTTATTGAAAGCTGAGCAAAATAGGAAAGCTAGCTGTTAGTTACTAGAATGATCTGGCATTATATGCCTCTAACAATTCCTTATTTGTGCTAGGTACACTTTTTCAGATTCAGATTACTTGGGTTGATAATTAAGTTGAATTTTTTTTTTAACCTTCAGATACTTAAAATAAGATTTTAAATAACATGTTCATTTAGGAAGTTCCTGTGGACTTCAGTTATATTTTAAAATGTGAAATGGATCCAGTTGTTAGAACAGAGAGATGAGTTATTCTTTGAAACTGAAATGCCTTAGTTTTGCTGGCATTGTGTAAAGATAAATGTAATTGCGTTAAAGATATTCATGAAGATCCAGGTCCCAAGAGAAAACGGCATATGGCCCTATGAACCATTTCATTTACGCACCATTCTTTATAATGAATATATATTTTAGTGGGATGACCCTGAATGTGATGTTTCTGTATATTTATTAAAAACTCAATATAATTATATCTCTGTAACCAAAGGCATTTTAGAGCCAAATTTTTGTGTCTTGTAGTTTTTACAATATTTATTTAATGTTTCCAGTCATAGCATCAGTATTTCTTTCCACTGAAGTTTTTCTGCACCCGTTATGATCGCTGTCTGTCTGTCCATGTTCCTGCACCCAGATCATTGCTGCAGGGGCCGCCTTAGCACGTGTGCAGGTGTTGCAGCAGACCTCGCTTTCATGTGGGATTTTTGCATCCTGTTGTCTCCGGTTAAGAGACATATGCTTTGGAGCAATGGATTAAAAACCTTTAAAGAATTATATGGGCTCTAAAAATTTGGGCTCATTGCAGTGACGTCCTTTTAATGTGTTTTAACATTTTTTAAATCGACATTGTTTAAAAAGATAATTTACTAAGGATTAGATTTAATGAGCATCTTATTTTGTGTGTGTGTTTTGAGGTATGTGTTGTCATCCCAAAATAAATACCAACTTTTATTTTTATTTCAGAATGAAAATACATGTTCAAAGATGGTTTATTTTAAAAAACAGATGTTAAAAAGTAGTAGTCTTAGTATAATGTCTTACTCTTTTTCCAATAATAATTTATCAAAATAAAAGGGTAAGTGCAGTGAAATCCAAATTATTTTACCAGTTTTTTTTCTAAATATACTATTGACATGGCTACGATTAGAGTAGGCAACATAACTAAATTTATTTGATTTCACATGTCATACAGATTCATAAACTGTAATACTTTTTTTTCCCCTCCAAGGCACAAAATGTGTAATAGAGACCAAATAATGATCAGATTCATAGTGTCCTTTACCTGTATACTTTAAAATATGTATTTGTTATAGACAAAAATGGAACATTCCAGTATTAGTGTTTATGACATTGTCTACCTGGAGAAGCTTAATGATGATACATTTTCATAAGAAAACTATTATAAACCACATTTGACTGTGTTGTTACTTCCCCCCCATAAATGTAAGAAAATATGGAAGTATTGGAAGAAAATGCTTTATTTCATCTTTTTCTTTAGTATCTAATGTATCCTTTTGTATACGAATCAAGACTGAGCAAGGTAATTTACAATAATGTACCTATATCGGAGATCATATCTACTAATTGACAAACAGCTCCCGACGGAAGGACTTACAGGACCTTCTACCTGCTATTGAATATACAGAGAGAAAAATGTGTCTGGTCAAGTACATAAGATGGTCTGGAGAAACCTGAGATCTGAGGGAAGTTTGTTTTCTATGTTCATTAGTAATTGTACCCATCGAAAACTATTTTGGTTAGTTAGCACTATTTTGGCTTCTTTGAGTAGGAAATTGTGTGTGTGTGTGTGTGTGTGTGTGTGTGTGTGTTTGTTTGTGTCTGTCTGTCTGTCTGTGTACTCCTCACCAGGTTTTAATTTTAAACTGAATAGTCGCTGTGACTCCCTTTTTCCCATTCTGTTTCAAACTTCAACCTGTTCACTTTTAAGGACAGAAAATGGTAGAATTGTACAGAATGAGTTTGAACTTTGATGGTGGTATTTTTGGTTTTCAGCTTTGAGTTCTTTTTTTAAAAGAATAATTTAAAGCAGTTTAGCTTAAAATTAAATTTCATCAGACTACCAACATGTTATTTATTCACTTACTGAACACATTTATTGAAAGCTTAATATTGCCCAGCACCATATAAGGTGTTGTGATTATATTGGTGAGCGAACAGTTCCCCTTTTCATGAAGCTTATGGTCTAGTGAAAATAGCTGGCAGGTGTTATGGGCCTCTAGCGCTCATAACCTGCAGCCCCTTGTAAGTGGGCTCAGAAGGTAGTTAACCTAGTTGTGCGAGTATGTGGTCCAGAAATCTCACTCTGGCATGAAGCATTAGGAAACCCAGTCCTTGCTGAGGTATTCTGAGAGCATATTACTGTTTTCATAGTGGATCTGCAGCATTGCCTAGCTTTTGTCACAGTTCATTATTGAATTCCTTAAGAAAAAGAAAAATCCAAAGACCATATAAAAATGGCACTACATTTTTACCATGTTAGTAAATTATTTGTTAATGCCTACTTGATGGTCATCAAACTGAGTTTAATCATGTTGTGACTTTGTTTACAGTATCTTATTTTCTAAAGATTTTTACTTGCAAATTTAGACCAAGATTTACCAGTAGAAGAAAAAATTAGAAACCATTAATACTGTAAATTATATGTGTGTGTGCACTACCTAGTGAAAATATTTTTATCAATTACATTGTCATTCATACATTATGAATGCTCAGTAGCCTGTTTTTTTAATAACTTTTTTTAAACAAAAATTGGTTTTACATTAAGGTTGTTAATCTTTAATTAATAGTAGTTGGTGGCACTAGAAACCTGAAATATTTCAAGACTGAACAAGAGAAATAACTGAGAAAGTATCCGAACATGAAAAGTTTTCATTTAAGTAAATGAAAAATATAATTGTATATTAAAGATGTATTTTTTTTTCTGGAATGGAATTCTTTTAAAAATGTATATGGCTGTCCACTGCAATGATGAACTTATCTTCCAAAGTGTGTATGTGTGTGTACATTGTACAGATAATCTCTAATTTGGTTACACTGTTCATTTTGTAAATATAATCCTGTATAAAAATGAAGCTTTTTAAGAGGATTCTGTATATATATTGTACTTATTAAATAGGTAATGCCTGTTTATCAAATTGCATTTTAATGACATCTGTTTATATACACCACTTGCTAAACAGACTGAATCACCAGATTGTTGGCAAGGCTTAATTCAATGTGCTCAAATTGTCTTTTTTTAACTAGACTGGGAAATTTGCTTTCCATATTTATGTTTGTTTTACCAATGTAATTAGAAGTAAATGAGAAGTAGTAATCAGATTAAGTTGAATGCCAGGTTGTATTTTGTATTTTATTTTACTTTTGAGAGGTTTTATTTTATTATTTTATTATTATTATTATTTATTATTATTATTTTTGCTATAGGGCATGTGCTTTCATCAGGGAGAGAGAGAGACAGAAAGTGAGGAGAAAACACCCCCCAGGAGGGATGGCCATGCTATAGTCCGTTCTTCACTCGGGATTTTGGGGACACACACGCATGGGCCTGGTGTGAATCTTAAGCCACCAGGTCCAGAACTCAGACCACTGTCCACTATGTGGGAGTCCAGCAATGTAACCATTACACCATCTGCTGGTCCCGCCAGGTTATATTTTAATGTTTAAAAGTCACCAGTAGAAAAACTTGGCCTTTAACAAAAGGCTGTATGCCTTTAGACAAGTGGAAATTTTTTATTGAATTTGATAAGCCAGGGATTTATTCAGATTTCCCACAAAAGTATGCAGTTTGCCCAAGTTTTCTTACTTCAGTAATAAAAACCTAAGTACCTTCAATAAGGAGATAATAAAATAACATTAACTTAATGAAAGTAATATGTGTGATGGCTATTTCCCCTCAAAAGATGTTTTCAATTTCTCTATCAATTCTGGGACATTTAAATTATGCCACATTAGTGAGTTCATTGGAAAGAATCTGCTGAGATCAGGATATGTAGAATGAAGATAAAATTAAGAGGATGTTTCCCTGACATCACCTATACCTGCTTTCAATAGCCGTGGGTTTAGATTTAAGAGAAAGGAATATGTAGGGCAAGAGAGTAAATTGAGAGAGATTGACATGTGATTTTTAACTTAGGTCCATATAGCAGGAAAATAGTGACGTGAACCAGAAGTGATAATTATGAAAAGAGGCTTTTAGCAGCGCCTTTCTATTCCGTTAACTCTGTGAAAACACCATTTAGCAAGTCAGTGGGATTTGAAGTCATGCGATTGGAAAATTACTCCAGTCAACATATCTGAGTCTATGTTTTCTTTTGTTTTTATTTTTTTTCCTTTCCTTTAAATTTATTTTTTACATTAATTCACTATACATCATTACAGCATACAAAATGAATTTTCTATCCAGAATACATTGTATATTGGCTCAATCAAGCACATTAACATACATGTTATCAACAAATAATTTTCCATTTCTTATGTCTTTTTTTTTTTTTTTTTTTTCGTCTTTTTATCCCTCACCCTCTGCCGTGTCCCACCCTCCTCCCACATTGCCTCTGGTATCCAGGGTTCCTTTCTATGCCCCCCCCCCCATTTAGTTGATTTGCTAATAACTTAATTAGTCTAAATATTTACAATAGCAAGCACAGCTGATATATACATATCCATGAACCCAAGTCTGACTAGGCATAAACCTCAGTGAGTAGAATGAACATACTATAATGTAGCACCTAGCTGGGGCTGTAGAGCTTACTGCAGTCATCAAATACGCATTTTTTTTTTTAATTTTGATAAGAACTGTTTTAGTGTTTTTTTCTCCTGAAACTTTAAAAAATTAATTTACATTCATTCCCTGAGCATCATCACAACATATGAGTCTGTGTTTTCTTAAATTATGAAGCTTAAATCAGCGAATGCAGAATGTGAGTGCCTGACGCTTCAGGACCAGCGACTCAGGAGGCTCTGACTCAACAACCAGGCCAGGTTTTGATGACTTTTTGCTGAGCAGGGCCAGGTTTGATGTTTCTGACCCAATTAATTAGGTAGATGCTATTTTTTAAGGTTCTAGGTTCCATTTAAGGAGCTTGGTTTTAATTAGAAAAAACAAAAACAAAACTCTGTGGAGGAAAGCATGTATTTAAGAAATATTCTACTGGCGAAGACTTTCCAGCCTTTAAAAAAATGGGATTGTCCGAAGGCCAATCTTTGTCTTTTTTTTTAAACATTGAATCACATGTATCTTCACAGTGCACAACTAATTTTTCCTGCATGAATACCAGGCATGTAAGTCAAGACAAAGATATTACTATATACATTATCATCAACAAATAGCTTCTCATTTTTTTGGTCAATCAAACATACTTTCACTTTTTTTCTTCCTCTTTCCATCTGATACTACTTTGCACATTTTATTGCTTCACAAAAGATCTTAATTAAAAATATGGACAAAGCAAAAATCAAAAATCTAGTGACAAATGCACTGTAATTTTCTTATGAAATATTTCTCCCCTCTACTCTCCCTTTTACCAAAGAGGTATAAACTAACTTGTTTGTAAAAAAAAAAAAAGTTTAGTCTCAAATTGGTCTGTTATTGGCACAAAGCCCCATAAGAATTCAATTTCCAATACAAGGCAACAAATGCTATTATTGAACTTACGTAAATAAATAACTGTTCTGCCACAAAATAAGAATGTTCACAAATATTTTGCAATTGCAGAGAGGTCAGGAAGGGAGAAAAGTTTGTTTCAAATTTCAAAAAAATTTAACAAACTGAACCTTTCAACAACTCAAAAGTCCTTAAATCTGGAAGACAAAGCATAGAAGATCAGTAATGTTTTAGTCAAAAGTCATAGAATTCTATTTCACCAGTTCAGTCTCATGTACCTAATCTCTCTCTTGTTGAATTTACAGTGTTACTGTGGTCTGATCTTTCTGTTTAAATCTTGGAAGTTAACATTCAGTAATATTGATATTTCTGGACTTGTCCCTACCATTAGGCTCAAAAGTGAATCTTTTGGTGAGTTGAACAACCTGCTCCTGGGTCAGCCCTCTAGCCTAGCGATTAAGTCAGATCCCCAAACCACAGTGCAAACCCTAGCCCTGGGACAGCTGTAACCCAATGCCAGGTGCATGTGTGCTCCACATCTTGGCAGGACGGAGAAATGGAGAAAGGATTGTGGTGTGAGCATTCACCATTGAGGAGTGCTCCCTTCCCCTTTCTTTTGCGAGTATGTGCACACTGTGACAATTAAAAAACAAACAGAAGCCTCCTAATTGCACCCCAGTAAAAGGGATAGGGTGCTATATTCAGGAGCAGATTCTTACCACCTAATGCAGCACACAAATAGCTCTTCTGAAAGTTTTACAGTTCATTGAAATGAAAACTAGCTTGTTAATAGTAAGTTTCTAGTTAGAGAAACTCAGGAGATACACTAAACCCTAGAATGGCTTTCCACAGTATCGTACTTCACTGAAGGTTTTTGTTTTTGTTTTTGTTTTTGAGATTTTTGCTATAGGGCGTATGTGCTCACCAGAAAGAGACACAGAAAGTGAGAAATATCCCCCCCCCGCCCCCAGGGGACGACCACGCCGCAATCCCTTCTCCGTTCTCTCGGGATCTTGGGCACACATACACATGCGCTCGGCGTGAGTTTAAGCCACCAGGTCCAGGACTCAAACCAGGGTTGACTACATGGGAACCCAGTAACATAGCCATTACGCCAACTGTTGGTCCCCACTGTGAAGTTTTTAATAACTAATTAAAGACCCATGAGCAGGAAGAGGGGCTTGTTTTCAGCATCCTCCCACTGTGCTCGTCCCTAGAAATGTAAGTGTAACCTGCCAACACTATCTACTGTTCCTTGCTCAAGGCTCTTAATGAGCTCTGGAGGTAGAAGGTTCCCTCACACCCCTCACCTTGCTGACTTTGCTCAAAGGCTCAAGCTGTTTCTGGCCACCTGTATAGGAGAAGCACTATCAGTATCTTTGAGTTCTCTCACTGGAGCGGCTAGAGATCTCATCTCTTTCCCAAAAAATCAAATTTCCATGGGTCCGTGCTGAAGAAACATGCTTCTCTAGACTCTAAGCTTTTTCCTAGATTTCGTGTTTTTGTGTTAATTTGGAGTCAGAATAGAAGGGATTGTGGAGAGAGCTTGTTGGGACAAGGAGTTTGAAAAGCCAGTTGCTGGCATCAGGGCATGAACTTGGCGTGATTTTCAGGCCACGTAGTCCAGGACTCAAATTTGCAGTTGGCCATGTGGGAATCTAGTGTTTAACCACCATGCCATCTGCTGGCCCACTGGCTTTTGTATTTTATTAATGTTTGTCCTCTGAAATGATAAACACAAAAAGTCAGACATATCAAAGGAGGGACAGGGAATAAATACTAAGGAACTGCATTATGGGTCGGACAACCCTATGAAGTAGGAAACTGAGGCTCAAAGTTTTCCCAGGATGTTACTGCTAGGGATTTGTTGAGCTGGAACTGGAACTTGAGTTGGGAGTGTCTTTCACTACTCTCTGCTTCCTCCCCAGAGTTAAAAGTTCTAATGCCTCAATAAATGGGTAAAACTTAGATCTCTTTTCCGTAGTAATATGGTTTTCACAAAAAGACCAATCCATCAGTTTAAAGACGATGCATAGGCCTTGAGTGGGGTGATTAAGCCAGTTCTTAGTTGGAGGCATGGCGCCTCTTTTCTCCCTCTTTCTGATTTTCTTCTAACTTAGCTCTTCCTCTGATGTAATCACAGAAAAAGAGAAATAGAATAATTTATTTCCTCTTAAACTCGTGTGGGAATCACCGTTAATAGATCACATAATTTTCCTGATAGTCTGGGCAATGATAAGTGTTTTTTTTTTTTAAATAATTATTTAACTTTATTTATTTTAATTTGACCAGAGAGGGACAGAGTGACAGAAAGAAAGTGAGAAAGCAGCCAGCAGACCCGGGGACTTGAACCACAATCGACCATGTGGGAGTCCAACGCCCTTAACCACCACAGCACCTGCCGGCCCCAGTGATCGGTGCTTCATAAGTTTTTGAATTACTTATGGATATACGTCTCCATGCTCTGGAGGA